AAACTGAATAAATACCTGGATACCCACTATGTATAACTTTTACAAGGCAGCTCACCAGTTTGATCCGAGATAGATACCCTGTATAGGCCATGATTTAGACAGTTTTGCAGCCATCATGGACTTGCAATATCTTTCTACTGATCTTCTTCAAGGATTCCAAATGTATGTGAATTACCAAGATGATTTGTCAAATCCTTTTAATATCCCATCATTTTGGAATGCAAATAAGAGCAGATTTCCTCTTCTGGAAAAGATTGCCAATAAGCTCATATTGGATACCTGTTACCAGCATAGATGCTGAATGTTCATTATTTCATCAAAAATTTACTCAATAAAACCACATGAAAGTTTTACACCTGAGAATACCCTGCTCTCACAATGTTGTATTACAATGGAGATTTAGAGAAGAGATTTGAAGATTAGATATTTCCCAAATTAAGAAATTAGCAATTTTACATTTCAGCAGTATTTCAACTTGGGATAAGTTTGTTTTTTTAAATTTTGAATTAATATGTCTAATTTGTTTTTTGATATTTTGTTACAAAGATTCAGTTGTTATGCTTTAAGTACTGTTTTGTAAACTTTTAGTCAAAATTTTTGACTTTATTCAGATATTTATTATTGAGACTCAAGTTATTTGCTGTTGATACAAAAACAATTTGAATGTGTTTTGAACATGTTCTTAAAGAAGGAAACTCTGATTAAAATTTATTTTTGGACTTTGATTTTAACAGTGAAAATAAGATTTGTAGATATTTGCCATTTCTTTATATGCAATAAAACTTTGAATTATGTTTTTGTTTTCAGTTTTAATAATTATAGCACATTGTCTTGTAATTTTCTCATAAGCCATGTTTTATGCTCCTACCCTGCCACACAAATCCTAATCTTAATTTGTACTCATTTATGTATGTATGTATTTTTGCATGTGTATGTGCGTGTATGCAGATATGTGCCTTTGTATGTGTGTCTCCCTCTCTCACATATATATATATATATATATATATATATATATATATTAAGAAAGAACAGTAAGATATATAATCTTGTGTTCTTTTTGGTATTTTTTATTTTTATACAAAACAGTACTCTGTAAATTTATAATATTTATGCTCTGTAAATTAACAGATTTAAAACATGTTTTCTTCATTACACAGTAATAACCAGGTTTTAAAAACTTCAAATTTAATTATATAATGAAATTAAAAGTTTCATTTTCAAGTGAATTTTGGAATAACTTATTTTTAAATTTACTGAGTTTTAAACTCGCATATAATTCATAATTTCTTGTTTCCAAGGATACAGAGAAATCCAATCATTCAAACATGGGCGGTAGTGTGTTTATTTTTATTAACTATCGTATCAATTATAAGTTACATTCAAAAAAAGGGTTTAAGCATAGGGAGGGTAGAGGTGCATTTTTCAATAAATTCTGACATCCGTTAAATGCATGTTTGTTTTTTAAATTATTAACAACAGTTTTTTGTCATTTTTCCGTTAAATTCGTACTTGTATACTTAGATTCTTTCTAAAATGGGTGTTTGGGTTAGAACACATATTTAACTACAATTTTAAAATATTTTTACTCTTAATTACTAATAGACTATATTTCTTTTTAAATCAAGTAAATGTAATAGGATTACTTAAGTTATTTTAAAATTATTATAGAAGCATATATATATATATATATATATATATATATATATATTTTAACAGCTCCCATTTCTTTATTTTTTTTTTTTAATTTTTAAATATTTAAGGAAAATTTTTGACAATGTTGGCAAAGAATAGCTATTTCATTTCTTCGATTCAGTAAATTCCTTTTTTTATAAACTTAGTAATATATAGTTTCTCATGTATGCACAAAGGACATGTATCATTTAATGACCTACATATTCTAGCTTTTATTATTAATTTTCATTTTACTGTAGATGTTTTATTGGTTTCTTTTAAGTGCCAGAAATATTTCAAAAGGTATGTCTGATTTCGGTATTTATTTATCCTAAATGAAGTTTAATGTTGATTGAACCTCTTTGAATTTATGGCTTGTGCAACCTATACAGATTTTTATATTTTGGGGATTCTCAATGAGATATTCCATTGGTATACTAATAATTCCGTGCAGAATTTTGTAGAAGACAGTTATGAGGATTTCTACAGTTACGTAATTTTTGTTTATCTTCATCTCTTTATTTTTATATTGTCTAAATTTCTTTGATTTTGTTTATTCAAGATATTAGCATTATGTTTCTTAACAATATTTCTAAGTTTTCAGTACAGCTGTAACTTAATTTTAGTGTATTTTTATTGAAAATAATACTTCGTTTACTATCTTTAGGAAAGTGCTTAACGATTAATGCAAGGAATTTTTGTCCTAATTTGTTCTTTACCATTTGGTTGTATGGGGGTGTATACCAAATTATTTTTCTACTTCAGTTTTTTCTATGCTTTACATTTCCCTTTTTTATATAAGTTAGTTTTGGGTTTTTGTAGCCACCATCTTTAAGAGCTTTATTATAGAAATTAACATAGAAAATCTTCTCATTTACTGAATTTGTAAATATTCTTTTTTCGATATGCTTAATTATAGATGGTGGATGATTAGATTTAGGGTGTATATATAAAGGATTGGTATTGGGTTTTTTATAAGGTACGTTTTTTATTAAATCTAAGGTTATATCAAGGAAGTTAACTTTTTTTTAATTTAGTGCTTACAGTAATTTTTAAGTTCAGGCTTTTAAATTCTTTATATAATATCTTTCTAATTTTATCGATTTTAAAGTTAGTAGAGTTCTTTATAACCATAAGTCCATCGTCTCTGTATAAACCAATGTCAGTTATATTAATTTCACAGTACGCTGTGAAATTGTAATAATATAAAAAGACCTATAAGGTCAGAAGACTCAGCTGAGTCTAGTGATCCCATTGTGATGTCAAAGTGGTCATAAGAATTTTTTATCCATTGCTCACCTTTATGTATCAGTACAGATTTTTTTTGCATTTATAATAATGCTCTTTTCTTCTGTAATATCCGTGTACTGGGTAGCAAAGTCCAACACATTCATGAACAGTTCTTTAGATATTGATTGATAATAAGTTTCAATATTAGTGTACAGTTAGTTTTATCCTTTATATTAGCAAACCATTTTATCACGTCTTTGGTATTAATCCAAAATTTCAGGTCTATTTTTTTCTTTAATTTGTTGATTAACCTTTTCTAGGATCTTTTTACTAATTTTGCCGATCTCAGGTCTTGTTGGGTTTATTATCCTTGTAGTCGGATTTGCTTTGAAATCTGGTTTGTGGTCTTTTAAGGTTATATAGCACTTTTTTGCAGTAAGTTTACCTACTCTATCACTAATCTTCAGTTTATCTGTGATTTTTTTTACTGCTAGTATTAATATTCTCCATGTTGAGGTAATTATTATTTACCTTTTTATAGTTCTTATGTAAATCCATATTAATTAGATTGTTGTGACCCCTTGTCTTTATTTTATAAAACTTTTCAATAAAATTTTATCCATTGTGTTAATGCCTTTTAGTATTTTATCCATGAAGATGAAACAAAACTAATGCTTTTAATTTAATTATATAATTAAATTTGAAGTTTTTAGCTTCGGTTTTTGAAACATGGTTATTACTGTGTAGCAAAGAAACCATATTTTAAATCAGTTATATATATATATATATATATATATATATATATATATATATATATATTTAAAATTTTTTTACATTACAGTTCTAACCATGTTTCAAAAATGGAAGTTAAAAGCTACGAATTTAATTTTGTGATTAAATTAAAGACATTAGTTCCATTGCATCCTCAAGCGAATCACAAAATTAAATTTGTAGCTTTTAGCTTCCATTTTTGAAACATGGTTAGAACTGTGTAGCGAAAAAAAAAACCATATTTTAAATCAATTAATTTATAATATTAATGCTCTGTAAATTTACATTGAGCACTATTTTGTAAAAATAAAAATATCTATAAGAACACCGGATTATATATCTTGCTGTTCTTTCTTTATATATATATATATATATATATATATATATATATATATAACTGGTTATAGTTGTTCCAACAAGAGGAAAGTGTATATTTTAAAAAGTTAAACTGCAAACGATTTTGATTGAAATGTGAATTTTAAAATATATATTACACTCTATTTTCCCTAATTCTGGAGTATATAAAATAAAAAAATTCACATGTCAACCAAAAACGTTTGCTGTTATATATGTGTGTGCATATTTGTCTATATACCTGTTAATGTGTACATTAGGGGTTTACAGTATATGTGTGTGTATATATATATATATATATATATATATATATATATATATATATATATATAAAGTTTGTTCAAATATCTATGAAAGTCATAGCCCATTGAATTAGACACCTAACTTAATGCACAAAACAGGTTTTCACTGACAAGTGCAGTGCCTAATTGTAAACAGATATACTTTAATTTGAATACAGAGAAATTGACATGGAAAAAATGTTGCCAGATTTATCCTGCCAGTTCATTTAGTAACCAAATTATGACCATTTAACATTTGGAATTTTCAGTCATGCTTGCTACTGGTCAGAAGCCAACCTTAATGTATATATGACGATGCAGAATGTAATAACAGGTAAAAAATATTACCCTGTGTGTAGGGAGACAACTCCGGGTGCAACAAAACACCATTGCTAGTTTGAAAATGTGAAAAAAAAAAAAGTGCCCATTGTTGAAATAGTAATAAAGAATAATCATACATGAGGAAGAATTTAGTAAAAAAATAAAAAAAGTTTACATTACTAATTTTTATAAAAATTAGTAAAAAAAAATAACTGACATATTAGCAGTTGAAATTGAAGGAAAATTACACTATTTTGATCCGGAGGTTTGAATTTTGTGGAGGTTTGAATAGTATAAAACTAGGGAGGTTTACTTTAATCAAATACTTACTTGGAGAAAAAAAAAAATAAATAAAAAAAATAAAATACTTACATGACTTTTAAAGGCATCAATGATGAACTGAAGGTGTTTCGGCTCCACACATTCAATACATTTCTGCACAACATGATTACCATTCTGGTCCTTGACACATTTCAACACATGCCCATCTAATTCCTTGACAATCTCAACCTAAAAGTAAACACCATTTTCTTTAAAAAAAAAAAAAAAAAAAAAAAAAAAACAAATGACCAAAAGAACTATCTCAAGAAAATATTTTTTTAAATAGTCTAATATAAACAAATTACGAGAACATACATTTGAATTCTTAGTATCACTTCTGGTATTCTCAAGTGTATCATTCTAATAATGAAAAAAGTAAAAATTCCAAACAATTTATTCAAAGGTTTTAAATCTTTGCACAAACCTCAGAAAATCCAAACAGCACATACAAAGAATCTATGTCTAAGCCAGTGTAGTAATTACTGAATAATTTTCAGTTTTTGCTCGGTGTCCAGTACTTGGGAACTTGTACAAAAACTAAATTAAGCTTGGCAAATTGCTAAGATTGTTTACCACTTCTAGAAATGTCAAAATTAAATATAAATATAATTTTATTGTATTAAAAAAAAAAAAAAAAAATCCTCACTGGTCATAGTTGTGATTAAATTCCTAGTGCCCTGGTCTTTGAAGCTTCCGCTTGCTTTCAGGTAAACACAAGAAACTTCACTAAGGTCCACTAGATGATACAACTTTATAACTCCCTTTAAAGTGGTTATGCGTGCAACCTGTTACATGTGGTGCCAGGAATCAAATAGTGCTATGCCATTTTGAAAACTCTGAAAAACCTTATATCATAATATTCAACACTTCTAAAATACATAGATTGAGAAATGCTTCAATCAAGATATATCAAAAGCTTTAATCAGGTTTTACACTATTCAAACTCAAAAGCAAATCACATCTCTAAACATAGTAAAAGCTTACAAATAGATACAAATAACAAAGCCATTAAAAATCAAAGTTCAAAATATGTGTACTCTCTCAGACAATAAATTTCATATATTATCAGGAAAACTATGAAGTTTTTGTGCAACACATTTCATCCTTTAGGACTTCAGACTAAAGTGATCTTTACTACACATACACACAAAGGAGAAGGAACACTGAGATTTTTTTTTATATATATGTTTTGGGTATATAGTTCAACCGATTTCATTTACTTTCTTTTTGTTCATGTTTTTATCACCTTTGTTATTAAATATTCCACATTGTGATAATAGATCTGTCAAGAAAGGTGAAATTTAAAAACCTGAACATAAATATACTATGAATGATCAAGCAACTAAAGCACTTTCTATATATATTTCCTTCTTAATAAATTACTCTTTATTATAGTGGCATTTTTAGATTACAGCCAGACACATTACAGTGAATGCATGGAGCAGGTTTTGTAAAAGATCCCTTTTGTGTTATATCATCTCTTATTCAAATTCCTTATGGTTTCTAGGTATTCCTTGTAGCAATTATTATGTTACAGTAAATTTCAAGTAAATAAGTTTTAGCTTATTTTGTTTTGTATTAAAACTGTTTTAGAAGTAGTAACAAATTTATGTTAGATACATTCTATTCAATTATTGTGATAGAGTCGCTGAGTAGAACAATATGTTTGTCAGACAGGCCCATTTTGAAATATTTTTTTCCGGGTTCCCACATATTTGTAAAAAAAAAAAAATCCAATACTTTCCCAGACTATGTTAAGAAGTTTCAAGGACTGAAACTGACATGGCGCACACACACACACACACACACATAGTGAATGGTCATCAATTTCAAAAACACAAATTTTGTGATTTCTCTTTTAATGGCTTGACAGACAAGATATTCCAAGAAACTCTACAGCTGGTTCCAATAATTCATACAAAGATCAGTTGAAAGCAGTAAAGAAAGTGTTGAAGGTTAAAAAACTGAATGCACACCTGATTAAGTTATACATTTTGTACAGCATTCTACAATTTGGAGTTATATACACTTGAAAATTGAATTACACACTAAGTCTTACTGCTACACATTTCCTGTGAAGCTATGTATAAAGGTTTTAATGAACAAAACTACAAATAGAAATTTTCACAAAAAGACTACACATTTTAGCTAATCATGGTACTCATGGTACAGAACACCATAACATTTCAGTTCATCTAGTTTAGCATTCAGCACCTCTTCAAATTTTGATATCACTATGGATTTGTCCTTTGCAGATCTTCACATGACACTGGATAAGTGTGAAATTCAGAGTGTTCAGCTTTCTCTGCATAGCTGTCAGTTGACTTGAGCAAATCTCATGTGCAACTGTCAAGCTTGTGTTTTTTGGTCTTTAGTTCTTCAATTTCCATAATCATGGATTTCCGTTTTTGTCCAGCTTCCTGCCTTTTTTCGATTCAGCCTCAATGCTGTATGCTGTTCTGGCATTGGAAGCACTGCAAAAGAGAGCCTTAGTCATGGGAACATTCACAGCACCTCCAACTATGGCTAAATAGCCCGTGATAATGCGCTGTGCAAGCTGTTTCATATTGTCAGTGACTGAGAAACTTCGCTCCACAAGGGAGTATCAGCAATCTGTTTATAATATTCTTTATGCTAGGCAAGTAGAACAAAGTTTCCAGACAGTCTTCATGCTTGCTGAAATTATTAAAGGCAATATTCCCAGCAGCCTCCACTTTGAACTCTTGTACTGTGATGACATCATCATCACAATAGGACTTGCTGACTTGTTTTCTGTCCAAGTGGGAAAAACATCTTTTTAAACTGTCTTCTGTGGCTTCAATTGTTCAAATTTAGAAAAAATAAAAAAAAATTAAAAAAAAATAAATTGAGATTCTACTAAAATGTAGAAGTGCAAAATAATTTATTTTCCTTTCAACTACAAATTCAACCACAGATGTTTACTTGTTTGACGCCTTTTATCTTTTGTTGAGTGACAGTAGCAGCTAAGACATGCCTTCATATTCTCTCCCTTTCTTTCTCGTCACCTAGACAAGAAAATAAGGTCATGAACTCATTCTAATCAAGGAAATAAACTGCCATTTGCAATAATTACCAAATATTCCTAATGAGTAAAAAAAAAAAAAAAAAAAAAAAAAAAAAAAAAAAAAAGACAATGGATTTGCCATTTTGACTTTCATGAATTGAGGAAAAGGGTGTGTGGTCAGCCCAATTTAAAAAATTCCAGGACTTTCCAAGCCCTGGGAAAAAAAAAAAAAAGCCCTGTCAATTTCTCAGGACTTTAAGATTTATTTTTTTATTTATTTTTTTTTTTTTTTTAATATTTTATGAGCTTTGTGTTGAATATGAAATAATTAGGGTATTTGGCAAGCTTAAAAAGTATTTTCAATCCATTTCTTTAATAAAAATGATCTCGAATTTCTATTCTTAAAATCTGGAATACTAAGAACCCTCACTATTTGCATGAAGATAAGAAATACATTGAAAATACTTTTAAAAGGTCCTCCAATACTATTTAATATTCAATACTAAACAAAATGCTCATAAAATATTTTAAAATAAAAAGTGAACCCAACAAATAAAAATATTGTTCTACTCACCAACTATCTCAACTACAATAGAAGAGAATTTATCTTAGCAAAAAATTTGTTCCAACTACTACTAAAACAATAAGACTTAATTTTGGAGGAATTTAGTGGCACAAAGAATACATAGAGAAACCACAAAGAATTTAACTAAAAAATTATATGAACACAAGGGATTTTTTAATGAAACTCCATACATTAATTGCTCACCATAATTTTTTTTTTTTTATATATAAAAGGAAAAAAAAAAAAATGCTATTCTAGAAGTGGATGCAATTTACCAAGACAAATTTATATAAAAAAAAAACTATAAAAATTTATATAAAAGGAAATTTATGCCTAGATTCTTACAATACTTCAACCTCCTTGTCAGATCTATTATCACAATGTTAGATATTTAATAACAAAAGTGATAAAAGAAAAAAAAAAAAAAAAAACTAAAAAAATAAATCAGCTAAACTATATGCCCACAAGATATTTAAAGTTTTTAATTTTAAATTCTCAGTGTCCTCTCCCTCACACATGTGCAGTTGCATCAACATAAACATCACTGTCTAATGAAGTCTTAAAAGGACAAAACATGTCAATGAAAGTTTTTCCCACTGTCAGTTTTCATTAACATATATATATATATATATATATATATATGTAAAAACACACACAAACCTGCATGTCTGGGGGAATAGATTCAAGGGCTTTCTGAATAACCCGACAACCATACATCTGCAATGCCAAGGACAGAACATGACCTCTCACACGCTGGGCCAAGGTTTGTTTCTGCTCATTAATTCCAAATTCAAAGAACTTCTGAATAACGTAGTTTCCAAATACGTCTGTCATTAAACTGTAAGCAGCAGATAAAATCTCATTGAAGACCATAGCTTTTTCTTGGGAGGTTGCTCTTTCAAGTTTTTGCTGGATGAATCTAAAAAAAAAAAAAAAACACTAAAATGACATTTTGCTAATTAAGCAATTTGTCAAAGTTATTTCATGATTGATTCTCAGTCAGTCAATCAGTAAGCTTAAGTTAGGTCAACTATTCGCAATGGTGCAAAATCATACCTTTCCAACTTTCCATTTACCAGTGACCCATACATGAAAACTGATAAAATGATATCCTACATTACTAAAATCTAACTTAAAAGGACTATGGAATAATTTTTGTAAAACTGAATTTACAACTAACTGTTACAAATTGGAAAGAAACCATGTTAATTCGGGCCATGCAAAACACTTATTTCACTCCAGGCAAGAGGACAAGTAGTACTATATACAATATAGTAATATTTTCTAATCAACTTAAAATTTTTCAATTTTTTTTTTTTTTAATTTTTCTCAGTAGGTAAATATATACTAAGTCTGTGGCATTATTTAGAAGTATTATAATTTAAATGTATTGAATGCAGGTGATATATGTAGAATGTTTTGTAGCAATATATAAGGGATATACACAAGCCCACTAGCTGATGATATAACTTGACATCCCCTAAGGATAAAAACAGTAATTTATCTTTTTTCTAAATATTGTTTAAAATGAGTTTATTTTATACAAGAATAACTTAATGTATAGAGTTTTAATATCTAATAATGTTCTTTTTATATATGCAGTGGGCTGAAAGTGGAAATTTAGAACCAAATCCCATCTTCAAAGTTAATAAAATCTTTTTAACCTTAAATAAAATGGTTGGGCGGGGGGTGTAGGAATTAGTTCAGCACCTGCTAGATTAATAAAATTCAATTTTACATAACGCAAATTATGAGGAAAATACCCCACAATAACATTTTTATTGAAATTTGTCAACACTTGATTCTCTGAAATTTTAAGTTTTCCATGAGTAAGTTTTTCTTTTTTTTTAGCATTTTTCTAGTTAGTATTTTTTTTTTCTCCCCTCAAACACCCAACTAATTTTACATTTCATTCCAAAAAATAGTACAGGTGCACATGGTTACAGATAAAACCCCATATTTTTGTAGAAGTATAGCAAACATCCATTTAATATTTATATTCTGTAGCCATGTGCTGTACACTTTAAAGAACTGGGCTGAAAACAAAGTTACATAATAATAAAAATAAAAAAAAAAATAAATAAATAAAAAAAATTCATGGAATGGAAAACCATTTCAAATATGTATAATTAAACAAGTGACTCAACTTTAAATACATTCAAGCGAACATGTGATTGCAAAATGATAACATGTTATCCCAAACTTCTCTAGTTTACACTGAACATTGATCAAAATAGGAGAGATATGCCTTATTTGAGATTTGGAAAAATTTGTATGTAAACAAAATTTAATCTTTTCTCTTTATAAAGATTAAATTCTCAGTTTTTACTATCAGTCTGTTTGAATCATGTCATTATTCCAATGACTTCTGCATTGAAAAGTAGAGAATTTCATAGCTGTTTTTTCAAGAGTGTGTACTGAGACAAAGTAGTCCCATCTTAATTCAGAGAAAGTGAACCTTTCAGAAATGTTTCACCCTAAAGTTCTTATTAAAATAATACCTAGATAATATTATTAATATATAGCCCATGAAAATATTACCAGACCCTGTAAATAGATTCAACAGAGTTGAATCAATGATAGATTGTTACCTTTGAAACCAAAACTAATAATGCATTACCATTCCTGGATATACTAAATGATAGCCTCCAGCTAAACATTTAGAGGAAATCCAAAGAAATGTGGCATAAGTATATGATTTTAAGAGCATTGACAACCTGCAGTCCACAATATCCACAAGAAATTGATATTGAAAATAGAGAGAGAAAATTCTTATTTCATACACAATACTAAAAGAAAAGCATACAAAATTTACAATAGCAAGAATGAGGATTGATGAATTCAATAAAAGTGAACATTACCTGAGGTAATCTACTCTCCAAAATAACACATTCAATCTCAATATTAACTTAACTATAACTACATCCAAAACTATTATGGAAATGATCATAAATGAAATAACCATAATTCAAGAGCAAAAGATAAATTGTAGCAGTTATTCCTTAAAATAAATATAACCTATGGTAAATGGAAAGAAGGGGTTAAATCGAAAACAGCTTGGAATGAGGCGAAACGGGTTAACTGATAGAACAATAAACAGACCAAGAGAAAGAATGAAGATGTCTTTTCCAGAAAAGAGAAAAAAAAGCTTAATTCTCTAAAACTAGAAAAAATTACTTCAGGAAAAGCGATATTACCACAAGAAGCCATATAGCGATCTTTAAGCTAACAGTTGATTAATGACCCAGTTCCAAAAGCATCGGCTATGAAGACAATATAAATAGGACAGATAGGATTTGATCTATAACTGAATCTAGAGAATAGTTTCTTTGTGGTTGGAGTGCAATGACCCTGGCAGAGCAGCTTCCTGAGATACAAAGATCTGGTGAATGTCTAATTGTAAACAGAACCAGGATGAGAGAAATTTTGCATAAACAAAATTTGAAATAATTTTTAATTAATAACTATAACGGTCAGGAGCTCAATTGGCCGCAAGGTATCAGGAACAGGTGAAATACCAAGAAGGCGGAGGAATTGCCCACACCCATTGAGAAGCGTCGGTGTGAGATGCCAATAAGAGAAGGAGGAAGCTATCAGGGTGGATCAATACCTGTGACTGCTACCCATAAGAAAAGGAGATCTCCCCAATTTGGAAATGTAATTAATTTCCAAGAACCATACAACAAAAGGGCTCTTATTGGAAGATAGGGAAAATACTGAATTTCCTAACCGTGCCATGCCCCATGCCAGTTTTAAGCAAATGTCCATAAATGCAAGGAATCGAAGCAGCCAAGAGAGCAGTTGTTGCAGACACTGAGATGAGAGATGACTGCATTGCCTCATATCATGTGATTGACTGCCTGAAGAGAACCTCCGACAAGCCTTGTGACAGATTTAAACAAACCAGCCAAAGTGTCATGTTTAATTTAAGGTTGAGTCGATAATTTTCTGTATGAGGAATTGATAAATTCTAACATCAAGACTAACCAAGCACTATACAAAAGAACATATTTAAAAGCATTTATTTTCATTCAAGTTATTTTTTTCTCACTTGCATCTTCATTCTGCCTGGACCAACTCAATATGACGACTCAATCTTTGCCAGCCTTATGACCAAAACAAAACACAATGTGGGATAAGGCAGAATTTGGACTGAAGCGATCATCTCACCAATCAACCTCAGGGATTGAATATTCGGACAGCTGGCCGAGGACGACAACATAATATATTGGTGAAACTTCCGACAAACAAAAAAAAAAAAAAAAAAAAAAAAAAAAAAAAAAAAAAATGAAAAAAAGAGCTATATAATTATTCCAATGCATTAGTTATACACAATTTCAATCAAAATTTTGATTTCAAAAATGGTGTCAGTGGAGAGAAAATAACTAAGATGAAAAGTCTTCAAAAGTGCATTAATAGATATGTATGTGATTGGACATATACAGAGTTAAATTACAATTTAGTCTTTAAAACTATTTTTTTTTTTTTTTTTACCTTTTTGGATTAACTTAACTTTATTACTTAGGACACTTAAATATATGGTTCATTTATTTTATTTGAACCTGCAGCATTTTTTATATTAAATTGACAAAATATGTAACTTTTGGAGTTGTACAATAGTCAGTGACCAGAAAATCTTATTTCAAATTTGTTTTTCATATTACTATAGATTAAGTACTCCAGATCAATTTTTTTTTCTTTTTTTAATTACTGAGCAGTGTATATTTTATAACAGTGCAAAATATACAAGAAAAAATTGATCTACAGAATAAATACTTAACACTAATACAACTTTTTATTTTCAAGAATATGGAATTTTTTGGAATGTTTGTTTTTTTTTTCTTTGTTTTTTTAAATCTCACTGGATGCCACAGTAAAGTGGGTATTTTTCTAAGGTATATTTGATACCCCAAACTGAATGAATTAAAGAGATAAAATAAACAGGATTTTTTTTTCAAGCATTAAAGCTTAGCTAAAAGGGCTATTTTGAACATACCTGGAGCCATGCTGATCTTGTGAAAATTCTACAACATGGTTGACAAGGTCTTTCAGGAGGAGATTTGGAATTCTGTTATTTCGGAAGTCCTCCAATAAACGGCTCCTTCCAGAAGCTTCTTTGGACAGGCTAGCACTAAAATGAAAAACAAAAATTTAAAAATATTTCCATAAAACATTCAAGATTACTATAGATTGTGCAATCTAACTTTTAATGATAATTACTAACCCATCTATGACCATTGCAATATGTAAAAGAAACATTACAAGTGGACAAAATCTGCTACCAAATAAGAAATCACTAAAAGAGCAGTAGTTGAAGGATATTAAAAGTAAAAGAAAAAATTCCAAAAAGGTGGTAGATTTTTAACTTATCTTTGCAATTCTGCATAATAGATAGTCTTTGAAAGGAGGAATAGAATAAAGAAATATATTCTTCAACCAGAGAAGGAACTTTCATAAAATATGAATGCTAATATCAAAATAATTAACAATTAAAATCTTTCTGTCTTTACTAGTAATTTGAAAATTTTATAAATCATGAATTCTGTGTATTAAAATACCTTCTGTGAGCCCTGTTGAAAAGTGCACCACTCGTAAGCAAACCTCCACCAGGAGTAATTGGCCCATTTCGAAATCTGGTTTCAGCACCAGGTGCAGCTGAAACCAACCTGCCTGTGTTGCTTAAACCTAAGGAAATAAAAACATCAATCTTTGTAGTTATCTTTTGATAGAATATATTAATTTTGAGTGTAAAGATTGACATATTAATACAAATATTCCATTAAGTAACAAAAAAAATTTAATAAATCTACGCAAAGGGTTTAAGATCTTGAAATGTTTTATTCAATTTTCTTCATAAAGAATTCTATGTTTCAAATTTATGAAAATATACTATTGAAAGAAAAATAAATTAAATCAGAGAATCATGCACTTGAATTTGAATTAAAATTTCAATTAAACAATTCCTTTATTTATACAAATACTCAAAATCAGTAGATATGTCAGTTCTAATATACAAAGAAAAATACAAGTATCAAGTAAAGAACAAAAACAATATTACCTATTGAGAGGTTGGATGTGGAGCCAGATAAAGATGGTGGAGGAGTAACTGACTGGCCAGGCTGTACCAGTCCCATTGGTCCAGCTGGAGCACCAGACATGCCTCCAATGGAATTATAATATTGGTTAAATAACACTGAAGTGGGTTGTTGCCTTTTAAAATCTAATGAATCACGACGCTGGCTATTTAACCCTAAAAGAAGGAAAGAGGAAAAAAAAGAAGCGATTAGCTCAAAAAGAGATTGGGGAGGGGGATTTTTTTTCAAGGTCAAAGTAAAAAATAGCAGAAATAATGTTACTAACCAGAACCAATTGCACCTGGTGCTGAACCACCCAAATTGGCAGTAGGTCCACTAAAATTATTTTGTTGTTGTGCTGTCAATCCAAGATTGGCACTAATAGGAGTGAACAGACTGGATGTTACTTGGGTATAACCAGGTAATGTACTTGAGGGTGTGTAACCTTAAACAAGAATTAATCAAATTTAGTAAAACTCAGAAATTTAGAGAAGTTTAATTATACTTCTTCCAAACTATGAAAGAAATTTAACTTATTAAACAATTTTCAGTAGAAATCCAGAATCAATAACGATAATTGTATAGAAGCTATCCAGAAGGCAAAAGAAACTGCAAGGTTAAAAATTTGCAGCAACTAAAAATAATTAACAGGGAACAAGGTCTGAAAAGATCTAATTTCTCATTAAAAATTTTAATTTACTTGCTTGTATTTTAGCCTATCAGCACAAAAGTTTTTACATTCCCTACATCAATGAAATCTGGCAGTACATTATAATTTAGAAATGTCAATTTAATTGATAAATGCAACTTATATATTAAAATATAAATTTGGAAAGAAAAAAGATTTTTTTTTAATTACTAATCAAAGACTTTCATTTTAATAAAAGACCTTATCACAAAATAACATTTTCCACAATTTCTTCAAATTTCTCTAGTTTCCTCAGTTATTTCTGAGTAAATATCAGCTGCTTTTCAAATAGAATGTTCTTCAAACTGCAGCAGCAATCAAAATATTAAATTTTAAAATAGAAAATCTAATACAAACCACCACCAAGAGTATTGTTCTGTTGAGGTGTGGCACTGTTACTTGAATTGTTACTTGAGTAGATAACAGGAGGTGTCTGTGCTTGCTGAGCCTGGGTTGTTAATAGGCGCAAAGGATTGTTTCCAATAGAATTCGCATTACCTAAAAGCAAACAAACATTTTTATAAATGCAGAAAAAAAATGGTTGATACAAAAATGATAACAGGTTTTCTGTAAAGCAAAGTTCTTTAACGCCATCTTTTTACAAGCTTTTTTTTTTTTTTTTTTTTATTTAAAACCTGCTTATTTAGAATTTCTAATAAACCAAGAGTTTAAAATTTGATTTAATTCAAAAAGAAATACTAAACCAAAATTTAATTCTTGCAGATTAAAATAAAATAGTTAATCTTTCTCACCTTGCTGATTACCAGTATTAACCAAAACTGGAGCAGGGGAAACTAGCCTAACAGGAGTACCAATACCACGTGGATTACCCATGACCAACTGACCATTTTGGTCATAATAGGCAGTAGCCAAAAACTGATAACCTGCAGCATCTAAAAAGTTATAAAATTTCAAAAGTCATTTTCATCATTTCTATACAAGAGTCCATTCTTCATAGATCAGATGTCTCAAATTTTCAATATTTACAGCAGAGCAAACAAATTGCGGATGTAAAAAGTACATTGTTTCTTACATTACTGTAAAACTGCAAAATTATCTAATTAAAAAAGTTAAGAGTTTTGCAGTACCACTAAGTTTCTTTATATCCACATGTAATAAAATCCTTTTATTTGAAAAATGTTTTTAAATAACCATGACAAAACTACATAAACTGAAATTCAAGCCTGCACATCAGTAAGGATACTGTTTATAGTAAAATAAACATTTGATTAATTTCTTAAAAATTACAGTTTCAGATGCAAAAAAAATTAGATTTATATTTCAGAAGGTCCCAAGATGTGCATTTCTTAAAATAATTGAGCTTTTGTGAAATGGTAACGCACACTTAGCTTGGAAGCAGTTTCCCCAGATTTAAAATCCATGTTATTTTAGGATTTAAATTAGCATTAGAAAAGCAACTGTTTTGCTAACTTTCCTGTATTTATCAGCATATAACAATTTTAATAAATAAAAAAAAAAAATTATTTACTATATTTCTATTTTAGTCCAGTGTCTTATAACTGGTTATTAAAATTGGAAATGAAAAAACTCACTTGGTGTTTGCAGAGCCTGGGCTTGAAGTGCAGAAGCTGGAATATTTTCATTTTGTTGCTGAGGAGTAACTGGGCGACCTGACTGACCACGCAAAAGCTGCTGCTGCTGCTGTTGAGTTAATGCTGCAGCAGATTGTGGAGCTCCAGGGTGAGGTTGCTGCCCCTGCTGTTGTATTAAATTGGCTGGATATAGTCCCCATGGAGTTTGTAAACTGTAATACTGGGGATGAATCACAGCAGGACCTATAAATTTTAAATGTTGAAAATTTTAATACAAAATTAGGAGTGCACAGTAGCAGCCTATATTAGAACAAAAGTAAGTATAAATTCCCAATTTTACAGATTCAATCAAGATATGAACTGCAGTATATATTCTTCAAAACTTGTTCTTGTTTGGGGCAGGGAGAGAGAAAGCCAAGTTATAAAACAAACTATGATAAATAAAAAAAAAATAAATATAACATCCCAAATTAGAGAAAATTGGGAATTGTTTAACATGGAAACAAAACATTACAGGCTTCACTAATTTGTCACATTGTTCAGTGATTTTGACAAATCAGTCATCAGTTTCCTTGCGATAACATTATCACTGATAATATTCAGATTCTCTACTAGATGGAGATATTGACTTGGATAGGTTATGCCATAGCCACAATGTTTCCAACTTTGAAGTATTGTTTTATCATTTTTGCAATATGACAGGACATTTATTTACTTGCATAAAGACAGGAAAGGCTCTCAAAAGGAATGATATCCTGTCCAATGATATTCTTATAAACTGCAGTATTTATTTTGATAAGGCCAACATAAACACTAGAGAACATACCCATATACTATATTCTCTGAATTTAACCAATTCCCCACCCACCAATCATTTAGGAAAACCTTACCTTTATACTAGCATACTGCTTGCCATCTGAGCAAACAAATTTCATAGCCGAAGAACACTTCCAATTTTCATTAGTTCTGACATGCTCATTTGCAAAAGCTAATATTCTAGCTTTTTAGTTCTTAAATGTTGACACAGGCAAGATAACAGGAATTAATTTTTCATATAAACAGGAGAGATTAATGTTAAAAAAAAAAAAAAAATTCCACCATGAAGAATCTTTGAATCAGCCAATTGTTCAAAGATATCATTTTATGTGACTATTATTGTTTTAAGCAACAACCCAATGCCTGAAGGATTTGAATTTGCAACAGATTGTGATAACTTAGGAAACTGAAGAGGAATAAAGAATATTTGACTGCAGTGTTGCTAAATTGAGAGAGAGAAAAAATACGATCACTCATAAATGACAATTTGGGATTCTCAACATCTTTAAGTAAGCAGTTTGTCCTATGCAAATTTACCATTGTGTAGAACAACTTTATGAAAGTTTATTGAATTTTTAAAAATTCAATCTGTAAAGTTGAAAAATCTTTAAATTTTTGTTCTCTAATATTGGATAGTCGGCATTTTTAAGTTAGTGAAAATCAAGTTGAAGGTTTGATATTTAAAATTAAAATTTTAAAAACCAATAAAGTCTTTATAATGAAAAGAAAAATCTACAAAATTACAAGTTATATGTTCATAATAATATTGTTTATAAACAGTACTTGAAACTTCAAAACATTAATCCACAAGAAACAGTTTTAAATCTAAAAAGAGAAAATGCTTAGAATTATGCATTCAGTTTGTGATCATGGATATCAGAAATATGACATGCAGCAGAAAAGGAAAGAAAACATTAAACAAAATACAAGCAAGACACTGAATAATCAAGCAAAACTTGGGGAAAAATTCTTTTAAAACGTCTGAAATTACAGTTTATAAAAAAAAAAAAAAAAAAAAAAAAACACTACAGCTCAAGCTTTAATAAATGTAGCCAACTGCTTTACACATTAAAAGAGATACTTTTCTAGCCAGTCAGAAATCTTGTTACTAATTAATCTAATAACCATGAATAAACAATTACAAATCTTTCCCACATTTGTTAATTTTTTAAAATCCCTCCTAAGGATTTAAAAAAAAAAAAAAAAAAAAAAAAAAAAAAAAAAAAATAAAAAGTTACATTTCTAGTATAAAGGGAACACTAAGTAAAGTAAAATGTACTACAAAATCATTTTTCCACATGAATATACCTTGGAGGCTGAAGTGCTGGTGTTCAACACCAGAGCTTTCTCTGTGGGCAGCATATGTGCCTTCAGTAGCTGAAATCATACCAAGATACCAATAAAAAGGTAGAGTAACACTCAGTAAAAACAATAACAAAATAAAATATACAAGTCTTCAGCCAAAAAGACTGACATTTTCCAACGGATTCCACTAAAACAAAATATTGCACCTCTCAAGTTAACACATCAATAAGATAATTTGATTGGCAATAAAACCTGTAAAACTGTTAATCCTTAACCATTACACAAAGATCAAAATTATCTTAAATACAACATAAAATCTATTAGAAAATATAGATGTACAAACAATTATCAACAGTTTAAGAGATTAAAACATTTTTAAAAAGCTAAATTATAAAATACCCTATTCTATATAATAAAAAATAAAAATTCAGAAATAAATTTTAACTATAGAGAGCAACATGCTGCTCTAAATGGCACCAAAATAATTCTAAATATTTCAGCAGAGAACACTAAAATTAAGAAATGGAAAAGTGTTAGTGTTCCACATGCAAAACAAGACAAGGTTTACAAAAAATTCTGTCTGGTAATAGAAAGCAAAGCAAAAAATTAGAAGCTAATAGGATTAGGAACATTTTTCCAATAATACATAATGGTTATCTTAGCCCAAATGGTAAATTTATATTTTTGAAGATTCAATTAGTTTTTATGATTGATTTTAACAAGCATGCACAAGTGACAATATCAGTGTAATTTCTAAATAGAATATGGAGGCAAATTATAGTTAAAGAGAAAAAAAATTTACACACAAGAATTTGGACCAGGTAATGCAGATAAAACACAAAAGTTAAGCTTACTATAATAATTCAAAACAAATCTATTAGGAATTTAAAACATGTTTAAAATGTAAAGCCATGAAAGTAAATTATAGAAACATCTTGAAATATATATAAAATTAGATTTTAAAAACAAATAAATCATCTTTGAAGGAGCAGAATATTTTTAAAACCATTCAATTTATTTAAAAACTGATAAGTAAAATGCGAATACAAAATGACAATGCAACATGTCTACATTTTACAAAATTTCAAAATAAAATAGGCCCCATATTTTTTAATGCCAGTCTTTAATTTAGGTGTTATGTGAACAAAAACCTAATAGGCATTTCTTTTCAAAATGATTGAGGAATTAAATTGACAAATTAAATCAGATAAATCCCTCTAATTTTATGATAGTGATCTTATTCAGTATGAATATTTTATAAAATCTTCATGTAATTTACTACATATCTTATTCAGTATGAATATTTTATAAAATCTTCATGTAATTTACTACATATCTTTCTGAACTATTCACTACTGTGGGAAGCCAACACACAAAATTAAGCTTTTGCATACACATTACGAAATGCATATAAGTAGCTATAAAAACAAAAAACTGTACTCTTCATATCAGTTATGTCTGAAATGGAATTTAAAAATTTTAAATAAAACATTTTCTTTCTTGTATAGACACAATGAAAAAAAAAAAAAAAAAAAAAAAAAAAAAAAAGAAAAAATATTTGCTCCAAATTTTATTATTTTTTATATTAAATTCAATAACTGATTAAAAGCAAATTTCAAAGTGCTTTTTTTTTGGGGGGGAATGTAATAAAACATTTACAATTTTGAATCTGATAAATTTCAAATCAGACACGTAATGCTAAAGTACAATAAACACTCTTGAGCAATGATCACAACTAAATTCCTCAGAATAACAAAGAGCTTATAAAAAAATAAATTTTTTAAATTAATTCTCCCTAGTTTCTACTAACCTAGCTTTAATTGTTTTGTATCAGCCAATGCTTTATACATACCTTAGTGCGGGAACAGCAGTATCAAGATTAATAACGAAAAACTAAATGGTCTAACCTGCAATCTGAATCCCCATAGCAGCATAAGGATCCTGAGCTGCAGCAGCTGAACTGACTACGTAGGGGTTTGGAGATGTGATCGCGGCGGGAGGAGGAGTCAAGCCTACATAAAGAGGAGCACAGCACACACCATAAGCCATGCACATCAACATCATGCAATAAGGAACAGTTAACATGTATGCTCCAACAAGACAGACCAACATGTGGCCAACAGAGCTACAACACTACACAAATATTACATTACAGATCTAAATAGTAATTTATCAAACAAACATGCAAATAAATATAAATAAAGAGTTTTTAGAAGATAACATGAAAATATTAAAGATAAAATTTACTAAGTTATTAAATTCAACATAATCAAATTACTGAAAATGGATCACTCTTTACTTTTAATAAAAATTCAAATCCATAAACACTAAGTTTTACAATTTACTATTCACAGCAAAAAACTATTTCAGAAGCTGTTTTATTTTGATAATTTTCAATAAAAACAAAATGTTTAATATTAGTCAAATGAGCAATTTGTATAAATCAAATATCCAATGTTTTCAAACTTATTAAATGATTGCATCTCAAAATGTGAAAGTGTGAATTTAAATATCCGAACTAAAACAAAAATAATAAATTATATCTTAAATTAGAATACAGTAAAATGACTAAGATATTGTTAAGAATTTGAAATGGGAAAAATAGATGTACATTGAAAACAAAAATCCTAATAGAAAGCAATTTTGAATTATAGTATTCAACCCATCAAAAAAATGGTTTTAACTTTTTTAAAAAAAAAAAAAAAAAAAAAAAAAAAAAAAAAAAAATACTAAGTTATTTTCTATATTAAGATAGATAAAAAGGAAAGTTTCACCTAATAGCTGCAGATAAGACTACATTATTTTATGTCCAAAATTGGACAATATATAAAAAAAAGAAAAAAAAAAAAAAGCTTTTGCTAAATAGTCATACAAGAAAATGTGACGCAAGATGTATTTTACACACTTTCATTTTGCAGAGTGAAAACAAGTTTGATGTATATTTTACTCAAGAAACCAATTTTGTTGATCACAATTATATAATGTGAAGCAATTCTATTAACATAAACGAATAAAAGAGGTATTATATTTTAAAACCTTTCTATCAAAATGAACATGAATCCAATGATACATGGCTCAAATCGTTTAGAGGGAGGGAAAAAAAAAGTATTTATATTGACAGAAAAAATGATTTTTCTAAATTTAATCACTTGTACAAATGAGACAGAGAGACAGACAGAGAGAGAGACAGAGAGAGACAGAGACAGACAGAGAGTGACAGAGAGAGACACACACAGAGAGAGAGAGAGACAGAGACAGACAGAGAGTGACAGAGAGAGAGACAGAGAGACACACAGAGAGAGAGAGAGAGAGAGACACACACAGAGAGAGAGAGAGACAGAGAGACACACAGAGAGAGAGAGACAGAGAGACACAGAGAGAGAGACAGAGAGACAGACACACACAGACAGACAGACACACACACAGACAGACACACACACACACAGACACACACACACACACAGACACACACACACACACAGACAGACACACACACACACAGACAGACACACACACACACACAGACAGACACACACACACACAGACACACACACACACACACAGACACACACACACACAGACACACACACACACAGACAGACACACACACACACAGACACACACAGACAGACACACACAGACAGACAGAGACACACACAGACAGACAGACAGAGACACACACAGACAGACAGACAGAGACACACACAGACAGACAGACAGAGACACACACAGACAGACAGACAGAGAGAGACACACACAGACAGACAGACAGAGAGAGACACAGACAGACAGACAGACAGAGAGAGACACACACACAGACAGAGAGACACACACACAGACAGAGAGACACACACACAGACAGAGACACACACACACAGACAGAGACACACACACACAGACAGAGACACACACACACAGAGAGACACACAGACAGAGACACACACACAGACAGAGAGACACACACACAGACAGAGAGACACACACACAGACAGAGAGACACACACACAGACAGAGAGACACACACACAGACAGAGAGACACACACACAGACAGAGACACACACAGACAGAGAGACACACACACAGACAGAGAGACACACACAGACAGACAGAGAGACACGCACACACACACAGACAGACAGACACGCACACACACACAGACAGACAGAGACACACACACACACACACAGACAGACAGAGAGACACACACACACAGACAGACAGAGAGACACACAGACAGACAGAGACACACACACACACAGACAGACAGAGAGACACGCACACACACAGACAGACAGAGAGACACGCACACACACACAGACAGACAGAGAGACACGCACACACACAGACACAGACAGAGAGACACGCACACACAGACAGACAGAGAGACACACACACAGACAGACAGAGAGACACGCACACACAGAGAGACAGAGAGACACGCACACTCAGAGAGACAGAGAGACACGCACACACACAGAGAGAGACAGACAGAGAGACACACACACACACACAGAGAGAGACAGACAGAGAGACACACACACACAGAGAGACAGACAGAGAGACACACACACACAGAGAGACAGACAGAGAGACACACACACACAGAGAGAGAGACAGAGAGAGACACACACAGAGAGAGAGACAGAGAGAGACACACACAGAGAGACACACAGAGAGACAGACAGAGAGACACACACAGAGAGACACAACCAGAGAGACAGACAGAGAGACACAACCAGAGAGACAGACAGAGAGACACAACCAGAGAGACAGACAGAGAGACACACACAGAGAGACAGACAGAGAGACACACACAGAGAGACAGACAGAGAGACAGAGAGAGAGAGAGCGAGAGAGAGAGACAGAGAGAGCGAGACACACACAAAGAGACAACAACTAAAATGTTTAAAAAATCTAGCTACCTCCACAGCATACTGGAAACTAAACTCCCAGTCCAATTTAACAGTATAGTAAAGCTGATCTTCACTCAGTACCCAACTGTCTTTGTGCAAAGTTTCCCCCGTTCTTCATACTGTATACATTTTATTCTTAATCTTGTAACTAATCTAATGGCACAAATTTTGGGAAAATTGAATATGAAGCATTTTTTTCTTTTTTATTTACTAATGATCCCATGTTTGTTATGTCTCAGCTGCATGTAATTTATGTAAATAATAACACCTGATCCCAGAGATTCAGACAGAAGCATTTACTATTTTACAAACCTATAACAAATTATAGCCAAAGCATTTGTGAGTTACAAGTTTACATAATACTACAGAAAATGGTAAAGACTGAGATATAAAAATAACTTTATTACAGCACATGGTAATCAAATATTCTAACAAAAAAAAAAAAAAAATTTAATTTAAAAAATGCCCTCAGTGTGCTGAAGAGTCAATACTGTATGCCCAACTTAAAATTTCATATCAGTAATTTTTCAAAATCCAATCAGTTTTCTATGACTGAAGATATATTGAATATTTTGACAATAAATCAGCTATATACACATTAAAGTACTTACTAATAGTAAAATGATATAAAGGAGCTTTATTTTTGCCTACATATCTTAAAAAAAAAAAAAAAAAAAAAAACCCCAAACAAATGTCATTTATGTACCTAAATGCCCTTCAAATATCAGCTAATCATGTCTAAAGTATACTTTCCGATTTAGTTTCTATATTTCTTAAATAATAGCACAACGGAAAAACCTGAATGGTTAAGTTAATATACTACAGTTCACTTGCATTAATAATAATAATAATAAAATAAAAATAAATAAAAAATGAGTAATTAACCACCTCAAAATAACTAGCTCAACTAACCTCCAAAAATTTTGCTAAGGGAGTAAAAAGCACACATATTAGATTATGTGGATTATGATGATTCTGAATCTGTACTCAATTGTTCCAGCAACTTAGGTTGTGCATTATCAAGGAGACCAGATATTGTAATATACTGGGACAGTGAAAAAAACAGTCTGCTACCCATATAAATGGTGGTCTATTAGACTAAATCTAATGTGCCATTTTTTTTTAAATGAGAATCACCCCAAGCACAGCATTAATGCCACTAACATACAAGGGTGTGGAAGAATTAGAAAAAACATTGATGACAAGCAGAAAGATAAGAGAGTAATCAGGTGGACACTAGATAGCAATTAACACAGCATTTAAAACTTTGAAGATTATAAAGTTGCCTGGAAAGTATGGAGTCAGAACAGAGTTCCACAAGCAAGACGTGCAAGAGGGAAAAAAAAAAAAAAAAAAAAAAAAAGCATAAAATAGCTCAACTGTAAATTAATGCGATCTTGATACCATTCTAGTGCATTGCTTAAATTGAAAAACTAGGTAATATAGCAAAGAGTTCATTTGAATATTTACTATGAAAGTAAATATAGAAAAGACAGAAAAGCAACCCTACTGCTGTGGGAAAGTGACTGGAGCCGAGAAACCAAATCAGGACCAATCACATTGACGATTGTTTGGATCTCATCAAAGAGCTCAAGGTAAATAAGGGCACGAGACCATATGTGGCAGCAATATTCTAAGCATGTATGAATGGCAAACACAGATATGAATTACAATTTACACAATCATGTAACCTCCAAATGTGGGTTCCTTTCACTCCAGACCTGAATTTGACTAGGACATTTGGGGCATAGTCAAAAGTCAATGTTCCATAACACCACAAAATTTCTGAAATCTGCCAATGTCCTAAATAGATAAAGATCATCCAATTTGGGCTTGTCAATGTTTCAGATCTCATTAAAACAGTCATTGATGCTAAAAGCAGATTCATTAAGTGGAGGAGTCGAGATAATCCATGCCAATTTTTTCTCAAAGCTCTCTTGCATAACATACGTCTTTTACTAAATTCATTCAAATGCCCCGAAAGAACTAAGCACCCATATTATATATACACACAATATATATCTCTTACTTTAATTGGTGGCATGGTATTCATCCATGTTAGTTATACAGAACTAAGTTTTAGCTTGTCAATATTATATCAGACACAAAATACCTCTTAAAGAGCACTTTTTGCATTCTCATCTTGTTTTTACAATGGATCTGGGTGATAAAAATAATAAGCATAGTGATAGGTTCTACAAAGACATACCCAAGATGTAATTAATATTAACACTGGTTTGTGATGGGTGACAACTATTGGTCCCTAACAACAGAAGACCAGCACACAAACATTTCTGAAAATATTAGAAATGAAGTATTTAATATTTGGTTATTTCCCCACTGTCATCTAAAGCTTCCTTCACAGCTGTTTAAAAGCCTTGTTTTTGTCATATAGGAAAATCCAACATGGCACGTAAATGAAATATTCGGCGAAAAATCTCATTCGTTAATAACATTTTAAACACCTCATAGAATGTAAAGTTCTTAAAGCAAACCTATGCCAAACAGTTTTCCTGAATCCTTGATGAAATAATGGAAACTGACCGTGGAAAACACAATTATGCACAAGTTTTTGATCAATCAGTAAACTTCTGGACCTTAATTGAAATTAAGTGAAAATTACCAACTGACTGTCACATTTTGACACCCTAGGAATGTTTATTTCCTTCAAAAGTCAATTTTATGCTTGAAATAGTTTCATTATGATTTAGGCTTTCTGACACCCCCACCCCACAAAAAAGAAAAAAAGGTTAAGGGGAAAATCTTTGTTTAGAACTAGAAAAAAAATGTAAACTTTTCACTATTTTTTCACATTTTACCACCTCAAGTCATTTACACCAACCAATTTTACTTTTAAATGAAAGACTATATCCTTTGCTTTCAGATTATAAACAGGTTATGTTGCATATCTCAAGAACCTGACAGATGAAGACATTCCTTAAGCAATCCAGAATCAGTGTTAATTTAGTCTAGTATCACTTGTATGGATTGCAAACAAGTTTTTGCTGTCAAAGATAAGGACAATAGTCCAAATGTAAATAGTCTCAGTTCAAAAGTTTATATCCATTTTGAACTGACACTATTTACATTTGGACTATTGTCCTCATCTTTGTCACCATATTTATTACATTTCAGCCGTTGTATGTTCCAGCCTTCTTCAGGTGGTTGGAATGTCAAACTGAATCCTTTATTTCACTCACTGGGGTAGACTGTTCTAGTTTCACGTGCCATGTTTGATGTCAGTTATCAGTTATTTCCAGTTAATTCCCCTCTCCAAGTTTTCCACTGCCTTAACTGGGTATTGAACTCATTCTTTGGGTGCTGTCACTGGAGATCTAACCAACGCCTTTATCCACTGTGTTATGTGTACAGTGAGTGAAGAAGGCCAGAGCGTACAACGGCCAAAACGTAATAAATATGGCGACAAAGATGAAGACAATAGCCCGAATAATGTAAAAGTGTACATAATACCTCATCTCAGAAATATACTTTTTAACTGAATTAAAGTTCATGACAGTAATTTCAATTAATTTTTATCATTTGTATGCTCAAATATAACGATATCCAGACCAGACTTCAAATTTGCAGGAAGCAAAGTTACCAATAAAATAAAGCAGGCAAAACTATGAAATGTGTGTGTGTGTCTCTAACCCATGTTTCAAATAACTTGTTTCATATTAGTGATAACAGACATTTAATAAAAAAAAAAAGCTATGAGAAAGAGAAGACTTCATCTATGATGCTAAGGATAAAATTGAAGCACATGAAATTTCTCAACTGCATCTTATCCTGCTAAACAAGGCCTGCTGTATAGCATTTACTTTCAGAGTTAGAGTAGTGCCAAATTCATGAGGGGGGGGGGGGTCCCATCAATAACATCTATTTCGATATCTAAAATAGATAAGCTCTTGATAAAATTCTTTATCCCTGGTCTGCACTGGTCTTGCCATAGATTGAACCGAGATAAAAGTAATCAAAACTTATAATGAAGTTAAAAAAAAAAAAAAAAAAAAAAAATTCAATGTGTAAATCAGTATAAAAAAATTCTATAAGAGTAATTTTTACTCAAATCATTACATCTTTGGAAAGAGATTTTGAAAGCAAACTTAGTTAAAAGAATTTGCTGAAAAATTCATCTTGAAAGTAAAAGTCTACAATTTTCCATTTTAATGAATCTGAAATTTAAAGTGGTTAGTAAATCGAAAAAAAACTAGTCTAAATTAGTTAATAGTGGCTAATAGTAATAAATCCAAAGTTCAAAATATCTAAACATGCAGAGGACAAAAAAAAAAAAGAAAAAAAGAAAAAGGCAATGATAATCACAAGCAAGCAAGATATCAACTACAACCACTACAAGTGGTATTCATGCAATAATGCATTAAAAAAAAAAAAATAAAAATAAATAAATAAAATATATATATAGAGAGAGAGAGTAAAACTAAAACAGTATTTTCATGGAATAAGTGAGTAATTTTGAAACTATCAAACCAATATCCACATAAATACAAAAATATAAATTTCAATTTAACAAATGTAAAAAATTATATTCTGAACTAACAGCTACTTTTTTCTTATATCTCTAGTTAATTACCAAAACTTACAATGATAAAAGCTAATGGAATTTAAGTGAAAAAGCTAATCAAAGTTGTAAAAGCATCCATAAAATTAATATGAAAAAATACCTATAACTTTTATTCTGCAATTATTTTCTTTCACCTATCACATAATGGTTAATCAAAATCAATTTATATTCAAATCTCAATTTTTGAAACAAGGCTGTATTTATTTTCATAACTCACTGAGGATAATTTTATGGCTTAAATGTAATATTTCATTACATTTCAATATAATCAAATTATAATTTATCAGATCAATATTTTACGAATACAAGCTTTATAAAACTATTTGACAGCTTACTTACCTAATTGTTGCTGCTGAGCAGCCAAAGCATACTGCTGCTGGGTAAGAACTGCAATTGGCTGCTGCTGGCGCTGAAGTAGCTAAAATTTAAATTTCAGAATAACTTTTTTTTTTAAATTTAGAAAGCCATTTAAACTTAAAGTCAGATTTAAAATGTTACTTGAAATAAATCAGAGCCATTATGTTGAATACCCTACAACTACCTTAAAGGTATGCAAAATTAGCTTAATGTATATCAGATATAGAAAGTTGCAATTCCACAATTGACTACCATCACATTATGACTACATTGGTACTGATAACTAGTGACTCAACAATACAATATACCAAGAACATCAATTGTGTATGACAAGTTGCCCAAAAGTATAACAATTCTTGAAACAAGAGCTGACATTGTCAATATAGCATCTTCCACAACAGGACATATAGCTAATGTCAAAATGCAAATGGTATCAACTTAACCATAGGTAACCAAAATTTACCAACATAAATGGGAATTATATAATAACTTTCAAACTAAATACCAAATTATATAATAGTTAAATATCATTCAGCAAATGAAAGTGAGTTATGTACTTACTTGGGTATAGTCCATGTTGAAGTTGGGACTATCCATTGATGGCATTAAATGATTTGGATAATCAAAGTGTACAGGATCAATTGCAACAGGTTCAAAAGTGTTTGGATCAATTTGAAATCCTTGCTGAGTTAGTGACTGCTGAGCTTCAAGAAAATCTGGCTCAGTTTTCATCAGCTTTTGACCATCAACTAAGATGGTGGGTTGGTTTACCTTTGTATCTTCTGTTGGCGAGTTTTGACGGCTTCCACTAATAAACCAATAATTGGGAAAGAAAATATAGACGATTACAGAAATATTTGAATTCTTTTGAAATAAAATTTATGATGTAAACTCTTTAGATTTACAAACATTTACATAGTACAAGATTAAGTTATTGAATAAAGCAGAAAATACAAACCGGTAACCATCATCTTCATCCAAACCATTCTGAAGAATTCCATTAGCTTGTAATGTATCTTTATTCTCAATATCATTACGATCTCCTTCACCACCTTCAAATGGAGATGGAGTCTTACTTTTCTTTTCAGCATTTTCAATGGAAGAATCTGGTGCAACCTAAGAAAAAAAAAAAAAAAAAAAAAATTTAACAAGCACTAATCTTGGAAAAAAAATTATATTATAGATATTCTTTAAAAAAGGATCAGAACACTTTCAAAAGTTGACAAATATCTTGAAAGAAACACTCTTAAAAATAATGGTCATCAAAATAATTTTTCATATATTATAACATTCAACTTACATAGCTTTTTAATCGATTAAGCCGTGGATCCAAATCTTTCCCAGCAGTTGGTGAGCTACTTAATACATATTCCACCATGTTAACTCCAAGTGCATTGGTTTCTGAACGTGGAGACAATACACTGTTTACTTCATTATTAGGAAAGCTACCAGCTCTCCTTTGAACAACAGTAAGTGGTTGTGATACTGCATGATCTGAAAAAAAGTTACATCATTATTATATTGAATAATCAATGCTATTTTTAAATTCAAGTAATGTTAGTAAAATATTACCAACAAAAATTAGACCAGAAACATATCCATTCTAAAAACAAAACATTAAAATACATTACAGTAGTTTCAAAACAGTTTTATTAAAAATATTAGTAAATTTTGAATCACTTAAGGTAATTACAAGAATCAAAAGTAAATAAAGTTCTTTACCAAAAGAAATTTTCAAATTGAAATATCTAAGATCTGCAGCATTTGTTTTGATGGCTTAAGTCAAAAACAATAAAAGGTTGATGTCTTCAAATAAAGAAATAAAAAACAAATGAACAATCTTGTATCTTCATGCCAGAAAAAAAGTGTGAAAAGCAGTTTTTCCCTTAACACCACTATTATTTTAACTACTTTCACTTAACAGTGAACAAAAAAAAAAAAAAAAAAAAAATCTATGATTAGAAATGTAATAAAACCTAAAAAGTGAATTTATATATTTTTTTTTTGTTCTTAGGAATTTACAACAAAAATATTAAACACTATTAGATTACCATATATACTCTCATATTGTGTCCTTTGAAGACCTAATTTTGAAACTAATTTGACTACAGTAAATGTATATATAGTTTGGTCAACAGCATAGCCAGGGCCAGCAGTACATACTGATTTTATATCTAGTGTATGATGTAACCACCTTAAAAAGTCACATGATACACGAATCTATACGTATTTATTTTCAAGAATAATTTTATATTTACAGCATTCTAAAAATACAAATTTATTAAAACTAATGAAATGCAAGACTTATTTACCAATTTATAAAAAATTGGAAATGGTTTTATTCATAAATTTATAAAAATTTGCTAAATTATTAAAATATGTGAATCAACTATAAAAGGAAATCCTTATTTAGCATTTTATAATGTTCAAATCAATTGGCAATTTGCAAATGTACCAAACATTCCAATAAACAATATAATAAATATTGTAAATAGTCTAACAGCATTTATTATTTTTTATTCTCAAGAAAAAAAGAAAATATACAGATTCACTTTCATAAGTTTGTTTTATTAAAATTCCAATAACTTTTCAAAATAAACATTAGCAAGTGAAGGTAGTTAAAATAAGAGCGTTGCCTAAGAGAAAAAAAAAAAAAAAAAAATGAACCATTACACAGATTCTTTGCAAGCATGAAGATCCAAGATTTAACACTTTAAAACAGTCTTTAGTTGAATAAAAACTAGAGCAATAGTATTAACATAAGTTTATAACATTTAGGTGTAGTTTTTTATTTATTTATTTTTTTTCTTGCTAACCTGCTGTACTCCAGGTGTCATCACGAGGTGTCCAGGGACTGCTGGAAAATATACCTTTGTTTCCATCATTATTTTTACTACCATCATCTTCAACATCCCATAGTTTTTTATGCGTATTCATCTAAAACAAAGATTTTCAAAATTTCAAGTTGACATATTTAAAAAATAAATAAAAAAAAAATAAAATAAAAAATTTTTAAAATTAAGTCTACAGTAAAATGACTGAAAATTTATGTAACAAAAATTACATTATTCTTTTTTTTTTACATTTGAAGTCCAAGATGGATCATGGAGCTGTAAGAAGTATATAGTCTTCATTTAGGGAAAAAGTAAAGTAAAACAGACAGTAAAACTTTAATTTCCAAATTACAAAGGGCGATTTTTATTATACTTTATTCAAAAAGTTTTTATATTGGTCACTAGCAAGTTTTCTAATTTGTACCTTATGGCTTTCTTCAGGAATTACAAAACAAATGTTTTATCCAACGCCTCAGAAATTGATTGTTCTTATTCTACTGTCCATGTTAGAAAGTATCTCAGTTAATTATTTTTTGTGACATTCATAGATTTCAATTTCTTTCCAGCTTAACTTAGTGATTGAACTCATTATCACCAGATGAACGATGCTTTTATCCACAAAGGTTTGTTCTTCCTTAAAGGATCCCATATGAAGCTTTTATATGCTTGGCTTAGACCATATGTGTCATTCTATCAATCATACAACTTTTCTTCCAGCTTATGACTTTTGATGGATGCTTACTGTTGGTAAGCTGTCTAAATGCTTTTGGACACTATCCTTATGTTATATGGACTACAATTCATATGAAATCTTAGGTGTAAGGAAAACCATGGTAGTTTTTCAACTACTGTCCTCCAACCATTCAATTCTACTAATGGAATCTAATGTTATGCTTGGCAAGTAGTAGTTACTCTGAAGAATGTGCCTTATATAAATTCTCTAGGGATATCTGTTTAGGTTACACATGAGCTTTGCTTAGTGTTGTAAAAGATGTTAAACAGCAATGGAATAGGGAGGAAATGAGGACAATTTGCTATAGGGTGCTCCATTAGGTCACGTAAAAAAGCAGCATATCACGATGAAAAAAGGCTCATAAATCAACAAAAACAAAGTTTTGTCTCAATATGTTGTTATTAATTGAAAGCTAAAACATTAAATTTATTACTTACAGTAAGTAACATATTCTGGTGTCTTTCAGATAGAAATTATATAGATTGGAATGTCAAATATATGCTCGATTTTTGTTTAATTTTCTTAAAAGTGGCCATTTTCTTAAGTTTTAAATTTGTAAACAAAAACAAAATTTTGATCTTAAACTTCTTCCTAAAAAAAATTAAATATTTTTGACACGTTATTTGAGTAAAATTAGAAAATTTAAAGTTAAATTAATCTGATATGAAACAAACAGAAATCGTTAAGAAATGTTTGCATACAAATTTTTATGCCATAAGTACTTATGGCATAAAAATTTGTATGCAAACATTTCTTAACGATGTGTGACTATCAAAGAAATCGATTGTGATGAGGTGATGACATTACTATGGGTGATCAAAATTGACAATTTTTGCAAAGTAAGCGAACGTGATTTTCGTTTTTAACTAGTACTTTTTAAATATTAACATTTTTATTCAGCAATTATGTAATATCTATTTTTTTATTTCATACTTTAATAGTTTAAAGTTTTTTATTAATTAGATAATTGTTTAAAATTTTTTAAGGATTATGTCATGTATACATTTCCATACGTAGAAATTATGAATGTTTTTTTCAATAAAATTTTTTTTAAAAATTATTTTAAAAATGTTCAGGGTCAAATGACTTATGTGCTTTTCGAATTTCGATTCGTAAATTTACTTTTTCATTAACGTTATCATTGCATTACATGCTTAAAAGCAATCAAGAATTTTAAACGATTTTTGAAGTATTAAGAAGTTAATGAAAAAAAATTTTAAAAATGGAAAAATATTTGTAAAAATACATTATTCATCAAAAAATTTTATTTCTTCACAAAATAATGTCCTTAATATAACGTATTCACAAAAACAGGTGAAAGCTTTTCTAATTAATGTATGTCATACTTTTTTTTTACATTTTTTTTTTTTATAATTCAAAGCAAATTTTCTATGAAACCAGATACTGTTTTACAAAAAAAAAAAAAAAAAAAAAAAAAAAAGTGATTTACTTTCTACAAAGAGTCCTGTTTATAAGTAATAAAACAAATTCCTCAGGTAAAGACTTAATTTCTCAAAATTTCATGAAAATATGTAAGTGGGTGGAAACATGTTTAAAAAAAAAAAAAAAAAAAAAAAAAAAAAAAAAATCTTTTTAACAAGATTTTCTAAAATTTCAAAAATAATTTCGTTCAGTTCTGAATAAGTCCTGAAAATTTCATTTAAATCCGACAATTATTTGATTTTTGCAAGAATTTCCTAATTAACGTGTGTTTTCCTCAGGAAAAGCGCAAAATAAAACCACCCTTTTTTTTCTTTTTTTTTAATCTTATCACGCTTTATTAAAAAAAAAAAAAATTTTAACCAAAATTTTCTATGTGCTAGAAAGGAGTAAAAAATTTCAAAAAATACTTAGGTCTTTCCTCTTCATAACAAACATATTGAGACAAAACTGTTTTCGTTGATTTATGGACATTTTTTCATCGTGATATGCTGCTTTTTTTTTTTTACGTGACCTAATGGAGGATTCTCATTTGCTACAATGTGTGTAGCATGGCTGGTCCTAGCCATGTAGATTAGAACTGGTGGAACTAAGCTGAGCAGATTTTAGTGGAAGTACAGTCATAGGCTTGCAACTTTTCATCTGTGAGAGAGAAGTTGTCAGGCTCAAAAATAATCTGTGTCATGTTTTTGGACTATTTAGACCACACTGGAAAATGAAGACTAGACAGCCTCAATGGGTTATTTAATGCCGACAAAATTTTTTTTTTTTTTTTTATTGTTGGCGATTTTTTTTTTTTTTAAATCTATTTCTGGTAATAATTTCCTTTCAAATATGTACCACTGGTAACATTTTTCTTTTTTCAAAAATATATTGTTGGTAATATTTGTTTTTCCAAAAATGCATTGCTGGTAATAATTTTTTTTACTAAGTATTTCTGGTATTAAAACCTATTTTTACACTTTCATAGTGTTTTGACCAAAGTTACAATTCCATTGAATAAAGCTTTGCATCTTGATTATGTATTACGAATTATGAAATTTTACATTGCCAATTTCTTTTTTTTATATATATATATATATATATATATATATATATTGTGAAGTGTCCATTTCTATGTACTTCAGATTATTAGTGTTTTGATTCTTATGTTTTGTTCTTTGAACTTCTTTTGTTTCTACTTTGTTTGATTTTGCTCCCTTAGTTTTACCATTCAGTTCTTTTAATGAACTTTGTCTAGATGATGATCTTTCCCTTGTTTGTGATGGGCTAGAGATTTGTTCCTCTATGTCCATTTTCCTTGTTTCTTCAATAACAGTTTCAATTTTTTTTTTTTTTTTTGTATCTTTTCATTCTCTTGAGAATCTATTTCTTTTTCATTTGGATTTTTTGGGTTTAATAGTTTTGTAGATGTAGAGTCATTTTTGTTTGGTTGACAATATAGGGTTTGTTTTTTCCATTAGGTTCTTTTAATGATCTTTGTATAGATGACCATTCCCTTGTTTGTGATGGGCTAAAGTTTTGTTCCTCTATGTCCATTTCTCTTGATTCTTCACTAAAAGTTGAGTTTTTTTTTTTTTTTTATGTACCTTTTGATTCTCTTGAGAATGTTTAGAGGTTTCTATTTCTTGGATTTTTGTACTTTGGTTTGGAATTTTCAGATTTAATTGTTTTGTACATGTAGAGACTTTTCTTTGAGGTTGACAGGACAGTATTTTTTTTTTTTTTTTGAGTTTGATTTATGAATCATGTACATTTTAGTAGTTCTATTAAACTTTTTAATTCGTTAATAAGAGTTAAAAGATCTTGGCTTCTTAATGCATTGTTTTCTTGGATGACTTTGTTGATTTGATATTTTAGTGATATTTGCATACGACTCTTGAAGTGAATTAGATTCAACCTGTTTCCTGGAAGGAAATATTTTGCATGTATTTTCTTTTATTTCCTTTTTCCAAATATTACACACTCTGGAGTCTGCTGAATGTTTTTCCTTACAGTGTGGACATAAAGGAGGCCTTTCACAAGGTGATTCATCATGCTCAGTTTCTGGTTCCCCAAATCTTCAGATTTATGTTCTCGTACAAACGTTCTAAAGATGACCAAGTTTTTGACATCTACAGGGATTAGGAATGTATGGCTCTACCTTGGCTATTGTGTAACCTATCTTTTTTCTTTTGATAGAGAGTTTGTCAAATGTCAAAACATGTGTTGGTGTTTATTACTGTGTGATTTTTTTTACTTGCATTCTTTTAACATGTTACTCCTTGCTTTTTTAGGGTGTCATCATTTTCAATTTTTTCTGATGAACAAAGTGACAGTTCTGAGCATTTTATTACTCCTTTTGATAAATTAAGAAATTGATGGGGGTAGGCCTTGACTTTGTTGTCAATTTGGTTGATTTTTAGCAATTTCTCTGCGTCTTTTTTGGATATCACTTGAATTAATAGATAGGTACCTCCACAAGATCGCTAAAAAGAGCATAGCATGATGAAAAAAAAGACGCCAAACTTGACGAAGATTTTATCGTCTAAATGTTTGTTATTATTAAGAGGAAAGATCAAAGTATTTTTAAGGTATTTTTTTTTACATTTTTTAATCGTTCCTAGCACATTCAAAATGTTAAAAACCTTTTTTTTTTATAAAAAAATGGGAAATCTCACTTTGAAATTCTTTTAAATATGAATTGACATTTTTTTCAAAACTTATTTTAAAAAAATCAGAAATTGTTATTTTTAAGGAATACTTTCAGCGCTCTAATTTTTTTTTTGTAATTAGCTTTCACCTTTACAATGCTTCATGGAAAATACATATTATAAAGAAATTAAAATAAGACTTAAGAGTTTCATATTTCATAAGAAAGGTATCTAATTAATTTATAGGTACCTTTCTAATGAAATTTTATGAGAAGTGTACATTAAATACTATATTTCCATAAATTTTATTATTAATTTTGATATTTCATTTATGGAAAAATGTCATAACAGATTAATATAAAAATAAGATTTTATTTATTTTTTTTTTTTTATTTTAAGCATTTCACCAAGCATGGAAGCCACTAGGGAATAAGGTTACAGAAAATTTAGAGCAAGATCAGATAGGAGTGATAGAAGAAAGGATGAGGTTAGTGGATAGATCAAGGCAACTGGAGATGTCGATTGACAGTACACTTGAATAGCTGGAGATTATAGCTCACAGGGAAACAGGAGAAGGGGAGTTCCACAGGCGAGAGGTGCGAGACATGAAGCTATTAGAGTAGTGAGAGCGGGATGCCAGCCTCGTAGGTCGCTGGAACTCATAACGTCTGGGAACCAGCGAATGCAGCTCCTCGGAGCAATTTCCATGAAAGTATTTTTAGAACAGACAGAGGGAGGCGACGGCGCATCTTTGAGAAAGTGACTGTAGACGAGACACTTTCTCAGACTTTCATATGATACCGAGACACTTCTCAGTTGAAATTGAAAAATCAAATTAACTTCTTCACATGTGTTTAGCAAAAGTAAAGGCCTCAACAGCAGAGAACAATGCTTAACTCAAATAATGCAACTTAATTGTATTCTGGTTGGTACTTTATAATTACAGCCTGATTATAAACACAAAATTACATTTCTTAATTACTGCGGATCTTCTGATCAGTCAAAATGATACAATTTACAACACGCTAAAAAAAGATCTATCTCATGAGGAGACTTAGGAAACCCGATGCACCTTTTAACTAATCTTATAATATTTTAACAACTTAAATGTAAAAGTTTATTATAATTAAGAAATAAATAATTGTATTAAAAATTCATTTTTTCATTGAAAAAATATTTTTGCTTTCAGAAAATATTGTCCATATTCAAAAAAGAAAATAAAAGCATTTGAAATTAAATAATATCTTTGTTTTATTGAGTTTTGCATGTTACAATTCAGAGCAGATTTTCAGGTAGGGGAGATCAAATTAAAAAAAACAAAAAAAAAACAACACAAACAAAATTTGCATTCCTCATAGCCCTGTGCTTTTTAACTATTGTAATCCCTAAACCCGATGCGATCAAATTTCTAGCATTTTCATAAAATGGGGGGTAAATAAAAAAATAATAAAAATAAAAAATTTATATATATATATATATATATATATATATTTCTGCCATGACTTTAATAAAAAGAAAAAAAAAAAATAATAATTTCCATCATCTGTGAATAGTTTCTGAAAGTTCCATTAACATCCGACAATTATTTTTATTTTTGGAAGATTTTCCAAATTAATGAGTCTCATACCAAAAAAAAAATGTGCTAAAAATTGTGTTCTTTTACTAGTTCTGGTGATACAAAGAGAAACAAGGTTTGTTTTTGTTTTTTAAAAATCAAAATTTAGAATGTTCTAAAAAGGAAAAATTTTAAGAAATAATTAAAAAACTTTCTTCTTAATAATAACAATCATTTAGACGATAAAATTTTGTTTTCATCAAGCTATGCTCCTTTTTTTTAGCGATTTCATGGAGGTACCTAATAAATAGAGTTATTTTTCTTTATTTTCTTTTACAGATTGTTGCTTGATCATGTTTGAAATAACCCTTTGCAACACGAAAGGAGACTTTTGATATATCACCCTCTACAACAATGAAAATTGGAAATAGATTTTTTTTCTATCACATTTTCACTTTCAGAAGTCATAATTTTATTTTTTGTATTCACTATCTGCGCTCCCCACCCACCTTGGAGTTCCTTCTTAAGGGACACTATCTGGGGGGGGGGGGTTAATCCCATTCGCCCTAATCCGCCAAGGCTACAGTATAGTTGTGATGAGAGTGGATACAAGCACCTGCACTCCCTCACCATATCTACCCAAGTATAGTATGATGTAAGGTTTTGTGGCCCTGTCGGACCCATTATCTATCATCCCAACTAGTCCTTGCGACATGTGACTAGCCGATTGGAATGGGTTGGGCTATTCCATCCGCCCATCTATCCCAGGTAGGGACCGAAGTGACATGTTGTGGAAATGTCATTTTATACCAGACTAGGAGTCACTCACACACCAGGACTGTCCCCAGGCATCATGGGTTGCCACCCACGGCAAATCAGTGGCCCCATTATGGGGAAATTTTAGTTTTTTGAAATCAAGTTTTGTGAATGTGCACTTTATATACTGCAATTTGGGTTGATGGTATTATTATTACAAAAAACCCATTCTTACACTTTCCTAGTGTTCAGACTCCAGATAAGGGGGAGGGGGGGAACTATTTACTAATACCCGAGACCCTAACGCATGCTATCACCCCAGGGAGGACCTGCCTGAGAACAGCAACTAAGAGCGGGTCCTACACTCCTCAAAACCTCCTGATCACAGGCCTTGCTGCTGGATTTTTTTATCATCATACCCAGGGCACAGGAGAAATACAGGGAACTAACCATTTTTCCTGCATCTTTAGTGACAGATCATATGTACAAGCTCCACTTGAGAACTGGGTTATTTAAGGCCTAATAGTTGCTCAAGGTATAGGGCCCTCCCTATGAGAACATTCATTCATCATGACTGGTGATAGTTCATGGTCTGATCAGCAATGGTGCAACATAACTAGTTTGGTTTCAGAGGCATTGAATGTAACCAGACACCTACCAGAGATATCAGAGGAGAGATCAGCTGCCAATCTCTGGTCATCTAGAGCTTTGGTAGAGCACCCATATACTGTTGTATCAACATAGATATTCACAGATGATCAGAGTATACTCTTAGGCAGATCCTTTATGCAAAGTAAAAAGAGGGTCGGTTCAAGAAGCAACCCCTGGAGGATTGCCTGCATTGATTGCAAGGGCCCCAGAGGACTGGCCATTAACAACTACTTTTAGGGATCTACCCATTAGGAAGGACTGAGATTCTTCCAGTGATTCTATAATGAGAGGGTCCTTGAGATGCATCTTGTCTAGTGGTTCACCATCTGTGAGTAATGGTAGTTAGGACATCAGCAGTGGATTGTGCCAATCAAAACCTGTACTATTTGTCGCTCAAGAGATTATTCCTATTAAGGTAATCAACAACCTTGTTGATTATAGCTGCAAAAAGCTTGCTAAAGACAATGAGGAAACTAATGGATCTATACTAAGAGAGGGACGAGCATTCACCAACATTGTTGAAAATCTGGCATACACCTGACTTTTCCAGACTTTGGAAGGATTTCTCCTTTAAGCAGCAGTTAAATAATTTTGCTAAGATCAGGAATAGTTTCAGGTTGATATTCTCAGACAGCCATTGAGATTTTGTCTAGCTTTCTTAGGGTCAAAACCTGGGCTGTAATAAAAAATACTACCGAGATTGTGCACAGTGAGATAGGGGGAAAATCAAGGGGATGTTCTATGTACTCTAATGTTGAGCTAGAGGCAAAGAGCTTTGCATTATCTGGCAAAGAAAAATATTAATTACTAATTTGACTGTATTAAAAAATTTAAATTAAAACTTACAGCATATATGAAATTTATACTCTTAAGTCCTTAGCATTATTAAGTTTTCACATGCAATTCTTTAATTTTTCTAATTTTGCATTTCATTTTTTAAATGAGAAATTGTCAATATACTTTAAGTATTGTTCTCATCTATAACAATAGATCTGTAACACCTATATTAATCAAGATGAAAGCAATAGGTAATAAAACTGAAAATTTTTTTCTTTATTATAATTGTAGTCCTCTTTCATAGTGCATTTTTTTCAATGATGTCATCTTGAAACAGTTTGCCATCATCATAAAGAGACTGCCAACTGACAGTTGATTAAAATGTATTTGGTTCCCTGGCAGTTGAACAACAAGAGTTCAATCCATGAACATATCCCAGTTCAGTGAAGGAAACAAACAAGTGACACAGAGGTGAATAAGACTAGTCAGCATTAACTGCCATAAACATTTCCTAAGCATGAAAAGTGGAATAACACTAACCCCAGGCTTGCTTCAAAATTCCATGTTACCAGTTACAGAGATACCTGAAAACAGTCAGCATTATAACCAATACATTGTGAGCATGCTAGTCTAAATAATAATAATAATACAATTAAAAGTTATACACCTCCTTTTCTATATACTTTATTTAAAAAAAAAAAAAAAAAAAAAAAAAAAGAAAGAGATAATGACTAAATGAAATAGAATATAAAAAGTTACCTTGGAAACTCTCCCTTGTGTCAAGTAGGGTGCTCCTGCCATAGGACCAGCATCTGCCTGTGGATATCTCATCACCTACAAGAATTAAACAATATCACTTTTGGAAAAAGAAAATACAAATATAGCAAATTGGTCAAATTCCTTTCAAAAAAATTTCAATTAAAATTATAGTTACATTATAGTAGCCAGTAATTAATGCCAAATTAATATTTCATCATTTTACAGCTGAAATAGCACAGTTCTATGCTAATAGTTTCTTCACTCACACTTGTGGAACTCTTCTGGTATTTTGCTTTCCAGTCAACCTTGATCTTCAAAAAATTTAAATGCAATGTTATCCTGTTATTCTTTTATTGGCCTCTCCCAATGTTTCTCATTCTTTCAAAGTCAGTAACCCCCTAGTGTCTTAATGGTTTTACTGCCTTGCTCTATGAGGGGAAAAAAAAAAAAAAAAATCTCCAGCATATACTTGCTACAGCAAGTTATATAAAATTAACAGGCTGAACAAGTTAATTTTGTCTTCAAATATTAATAAGGAAAATTAAACGAGGCCAAGATAAACTTATCAAAAGCTCAGAAGTATACATCCAAAAACTTTAAAATACTAGTTATAATATAGGTTAAAAAAAAAAAAAACTAAACTATAGTTTTTAACATTTCTAAAATTTAATTTTTAGCAAACAAATCTCTAGAGAAAAAAAAAAAAATTTCTGAAACTTTATTTGAAGAATATTAAAATATAATTAATCAGATGTGAATCAACTATTTACTTTAAATTTAAAATATGACAATTTTTAAATAATGTTATTCTATGTTCTATAAAAAAAATTAACTGATGAATATAATGCAAGAGCCTTTTAAGTACTCAGTAATCTAAAAAAAAATTTAGGAAAATATTCTCCATAATCTAATTTTTATTGAATTTTGGCTCTAAATTTACTATAGTTGTCACTTATTTTCATGTATAATACGCAACTTTATCCATAAGATTCAGCATGAAAAAAAAAAAAAAAAAAAAAAAAAAAAAAAATTTAATTATTCAAAAATACTTAAATTTTTGATGAAAACTGTTCTCATTAAGTTTGGAGCATTTTTTGTGGAAGTACCTAATTAAATGAATACATTAACATGACCATTTTGGCTCTCAGATTTATATTAATGTTATCAAATGCTTATATTTTAACTGATTCAATATTAGAAAAACATCCTGAATCTTTGTATTTATAAACAGTAAAAGTGGGTACCTCCACTAATTCGACTAATTCACAATACCTAAAGTTTAAAATGAATTTTAAAAATTAAAACCATTTTATCTTTAAAAAAAGATAAAAGGATTAAATTTACCATTTCCAGTAAGCAAAATATTGGAATCAATTCACTTTTTTTTTGGCTAAAAATAGATTAGTGCCCTTTTTTAATTATCTGTCATCACAATGTAATTTTCTTTATTAAAAATCTTCCAAAAATAAACTGATTGGAAGTATAATTAATCTGATTTGAAACAAATGTTAAGTTGACAGTGACAGAAAAATGAATTTAAAAAAAAAAAAAAAAAGTGGCGGTGATCAAGTAACACTTGTAAATCCCTTAACAAGTGCCCCTGAAGGTGTTGACAGCTTTGTTATTTTACAGAGACTGTAGCTGTTAAAACAAATTAAGAAAATGAGAAGTGAATGCTTTTTTTTTTTTGTATAATTTTCAAGTAGCCAGCAATCTTAAAAATGTTGTAATCTAATTTTAGGAATGTTGGCTTTAAATTTACTAGTAGTCATTGATCTTATTTTCTGATAATGTTGTGTATGGTCAGCCATACTGTCAAAATGGACATGTTTTATATATATATATATATATATATATATATATATATATATATATATATAATTTTAAATCTAAAAATCTTAGTGCATGAAGATTTGTATTAAGCTTTTACCATTTTCACTTAGTAAATATTGTCATCACTTAATAGCCTAATGAGGTCAGAGTTCTGAAGAATTTAAGATTTTGAAACTATTAAAAAAAATTCTTGTAAAAATTCATTATTCATTGAAAAATTTTCAAGTATAAAAATCCTTAATATATATTATTTATAAAAGCAATTAAAAGCTTATCTAAGAAAATAATGTCAGTTTCATTAGTTTATATTTCACAACTCAGAGCATCAGGAATTGAATACCTGTTTGAAAAAAAATTAAATGGATTTACATTCACCAAGCAATTAAATTCTGTCCTCAATTTGTTTTATTAGTTAAACACAGGACATGTTTAACTGATAAAACAAATCAGAAAAATAATTTTTGTACCAAGATTTTCTAAAATTAAATTTCATTCATTTGTGAATAACTCCTGAAATTTTCATTAAATTCCAACAGCCATGCTACTGCACACACACACATATATATATATATACACACACACACACACAAAAAAAGCCTTAAGTTTAAACATGTTAAGAGTAAAAGAGTAAAAAAGAAAAAATTAAATACCTTGGCCTTTTCCTCAAACATTTTTACAAACGTTTTTCTTAATTTGGGGCCCTTTTTTTTTTTTTTTTTATCATGCTATTTTTTCTTCTTTACCAAAAAGTGGAGATACCTAGGTAAAGCCTCAATTTTCCCTCTAACCAAAATTGAATTAGCACTTTTTTTTTTTCGGGGGGTATTAAAAAATTGTTTAAATAATTGGTCACTTCAATACTTTTTGCATGTTCCTATGAAATAAAAAATGTAACAAAGTAAAAATTCATATAATTATTTGTTTACAACATGTCAAATATTTTGCAAATAAAGTGAAACTAACAAAACCATTATGTGTTAATTTTAATCAATTAAAAAAAAAAAAAAAAAAACAGTAATGGTATCGATAAAATCAATTCAGCTCAATTCAGCAAAATAATCCTAAAAAAATTACAAAATTAAAAAAATACTCAAGTTTTTGAGATGTAAACAATGAAAATCAACTTGTACAATAAATCATTTGTGAACAGGGATTAGAAAATTATTTCAATTTTTTTTTTTTCTTCTTAAATTTCTTAGTACCACAACAAAACAGATTCTTCATAATGAGGTATACTGGAGATTTACAAAAAACATTAACATTTCAAATACAGTTTAGTTATGATTTTTTTCATTTCTATCATACAATTTAAAATAGGACAAATCTTCATATGGAGAAGAAAAAATGCTTAGATCTCACACAAGTTAAATAAATTGTAAAGTCATAACTTTCCTGAAATCAAATTAACTTCTACAGGACAAAATTTTTGAAATATATAAATTTGGTTATTTAAAAATACAAAATTTTAATGAATTAAGTACATCAAAATTTAAAAGGAACTGATATACAAAAAAAAGGACACGGTAAAGCACACCACAAGTTTAAGAAAGGAATGATCCATATGATTTAGGAAAAAATTTGAAGTGGATATTTTTGTAATAAATGCAGAATCACAAGATTCATAGTCCTAATCTCAGAAAAGCAAAAGAAAAAAAAAAAAAAAAAAAAAAAAAACTCTTCAAAATTTACATGAATGGATGAGCTGGAATTAGATAATGGATTCATATGCATTTAAAAGACCAAACAAAGACAGTCTAACCCTCCCCACTAGCGAGCAACAGTTTCATATAAAGACGACTTACAAAGTGAGATATAGTAAAAAAAATATTCTTTTAAAATAAAAAAGGTGTCAAGTTATTTTTTAAGCCCTAAAATATTGGAAATCACTTCTACAATTCGGGGGAAGGTAGGTATATGATACAGCAATCCAGAAAATTGACAGGTGGGGGGAGGGGTAATTAAAGAAGTTAAGCCTTAAGGGAATTATCTTAAATTTCAGAAATTTTTGATTTCCATATACAAAAATATTTTTTTAGTGTTCGGTTCAATCTTAGGTCTCCTTAAGAAACTGAATATCTTTGTTATGATTTTTAAATAAATCCAAATCTAATGAAACTAAAAAGACTATTAACACGTGTCATAAGTAGTTAAATAAATCTAAGCATTTCTTTTCCAATTTTCATAGATAAATTTTTAATACCACAACTCAAACATAATTGCAGACTTATTTGCTTACAAAACTTAAAATAAGAAGTCAGAATACTGACAAAATAGCAAATAAATAAAAAAAAAAAAAAGCAAAATTCGAGGCAGTTTAAGGTTACGAAATGCAAATTTTAAAGATTAATATTAGATAAAGTGTTTAGAATAATAAGAAAAATAAATCTTTATCAAATCAAGACCGAACAATTTTTTTTATCACTGTTAGAATTCTAACAGAAAATTGTAATAATAGACGAGTAGTGAAAATAACAAAGAAAGGAAATAGGTGTCGGTAGGAGGAATGGTGATAGTAGTAAAATAAGCTAGAGAAGAGGGGAACAAGTTGGTTCATTTCCTGCTAGTTGTACTTAACCTTTGTTTAATGTGTGGCGAGACATTCAGAGTTTTTCTAATCCCCCAATAAAGAAATGAAAATTCGAACTGGAAGCATACTACACGAAACGTAAGCACAAATAAATGTCATGTTTAATGTAGGGATTGCAATAATAGAGATACCTCTCTTTGACCAAGGCTGAGCGCATGGAACTCCCTTTCCAGGTCCTGAACAGCTATCCCACGACCCTAAGAAAAGAAAAAAATTAACGACAATAAAATAGTTTAAAAAGATTCATTATAAACAGATGATAAGCATTTATTCGAAGTCAGTAAATAAATCAAAACAATCGCTTCCATAAAACGAGTTCTTGTTTCTCATATTCAATCCGAGCTGAAAAGTGTAGACAGTTGAAAATATGAACTAACCTGCTCAATAATACTGTCGTCGCCAGGAGCCCATCGTTTATTGCCGTAATTGACGAGTTCGGCATCTGTCTGTGGTCTCTGAAAAAAATATCCGACTCTTGCATCGTCTTGAGAGCGAGTAGCAACTGCGTGTTGTCGCATCCCCGCCATGTCTTGTCCACCGTGACCACCGCCACCGTTTGTCAACATTCCCCGATTGGTGTCCCAGGCAACTTCAGACATCCTTAGAATAGGCATCGAGCGAACATTATAAGGTTTTGTAGTCTGTAAGAGAGACAACCAACATCTTTATAAAGGTGTATAGATGAAATTATAAAAATTCAGTTTCGATTAACTATACAGACAGCGACTAATTGGTCTCCCGTTTTAACTTATAAGAAAAGCAACAAATAACAACATGGCGGGACGGACACACAAGACTTCTGAACAGAAACACGCTATTTAGAAACAGAGACGTAATCAACATTCATTGAATGACTATATAAAATACAAATAAAGAATATTTTAAATTTAAGTATGATCTCTGAATGAAGTCTAAGTAAAAAACATTTGATCAAGAATACAAACCGTGATGACATTGGATAAAGATAACGCTGTATAACAACCAATTCACAACATGGCGAACGACATTTAGCGTACGCAATGCATGATGGGTACCATGTGCTGAAGCAAGGGCTGCAAAATAAAACATGTCAGATCACATGATTGACGGCCCGGGAAGTTCAGTTCTGAATTTGTCTTTGTTTCTTCTCGATGACTACACTTCATAATTTCGTTTAATCTCTACAAAAAATATTGTTCCATTTAGGCCTCATTGGTCATTATATTATCTAAAACTTTGCAGAAATGTTCAATGTGTTTATAATTATGCTTATTTCTGATTTTTTTTTTAACAATGTAATGGAGGATTTTTTAAATTTCAGTAGCTAATTTTAAAATTCATCTTCATGACATGAAAGTTCATATTATTTAATCTTGTATTTTATATAATAAAAAGAAATAGTATTTTCTATTAAATATCAATATTTTTTATACTTCATGATATTTTTTACTGTAAAATACTAAGCATCCTAATATAATTGCTTCAAATGATTTAATATTGAATATTCTGAGATTGGATTAATATTTTAAAACCTTTTGTTCCTTCTTGTATGTCATGCTTTGTGGTATTTTATGTTTAATATAAATTGTGTGGGCATGTTATTCACACAGCTGTAAACAAACATCCACAATGGTCATTCCTCTTAACATGCTTCTACAGTATAAATCCTCAACTTCTCCCCCAAGCTATGGGTAAATAGCAGAACAGACCGGGTTCTATAGCCTTGGATGGCAACTGGTCTACTGCACAAAGAAATCTACCTCGTCAGTCATGTATTGAAAGATACATGATCGCCTAAGTGTGTATCACGCATGGCACATAACTGACTGATATCTGCTGCCAAGAAGTACATTTTTTAAATATTTTTTAAAGCAAAGTAGCAGAATGAAAATTATCAATACTTTTTATTTCTAATTTTTCTTTCTTTGCTAAGGTATGAGACTAGTGTTTGTGAGGAAAAAAACTTTAAAAATCTATATAAATAAATTAATTTAAGATTAGCAAATTAGATAGATTCAAATCACAATGGACACATCATGAAAACATTTTATTAATTTCAAACAAAATAAAAATGTCTTTTTATTGAAAATTATTAACTGAGTGAATTACTAAAAATTTAGTTAATTTATAATTTACAGAGAAAGATAAAAATTAAAAATTTCTTCTTTTCCTTTCCTTTTCTTTGTGGATGAGTTTTACAACAAATTTTTACATGGCCAAATTTTTACAAGGCCAAATTTACAAGGCCAAATTTTCAGCCTGAGAGGCTGAAAATTTGGCCTTGTTATAATTTGTTATTGAAATCAGTTATGCCAGAAGGCAAAACTAACCATAGACAAGTTATTAAATTGTGATACAATGTCGAGATGTCACAAAAATATCTGTCATGCTTCGAACAGAAAATATTTGAGTATATATTTATGTAAATATGTAAAATCTGACATCCCACAATATAAGTGGTATACTTTGTAATTGAAAGATTATTCTTAGACAACCTTTAGACTCACTAATGACAAAATTATAGTAGCTTAATTCCTTATAATATATTATATTTAATATTTTATCTTGCTCTGTTTTTTAATCTATATTTTATTTCACTGAGCACTATTTTAGCTCATAATATTGTTTAAATAGTGTAGCTATTCCCCACATTATTGATTTTATATATATATATATATATATATATATATATATATATATTAATGTGGGGAATAGCTACACTGTTTAAACAAAATTGTATCATGGACTCTCAGTTTTGACATGTATGTATCCAACAGTTAAATCAATTCAAGTGTATATGTTCTCACATAACATTTCAGACAGATTTGCAGACAAGGCCACAAATGATGTTTTGAGACAAAGGCATTGGTAATCATAATGATGCTTTTGTTTTTGTTCTTGCTTCCCTCAGGCATTAAAGATAACCAGTTTCAAAGTCATTGATGTCATTGAAACACCTAGCTCTCTATTCCTTATGATCCAAGGCCACACACTCAAAGGTTTTAAATGAAATTGACAGCTGCAAGATTGCTCTTCATCTTGTCTTTAAACCTGAGTGATGACTTCCCTACATTTCTTATTCCAGCTGACTGTACATGAGGACTTTAGGTATCCTGTCATCATTCATTCTGATGACAAGGTCAACCCAATTCAATTGTGATTGCATGAGAAAAGTCTCAGTTCATCCAATTTTTCACTTTGTAAAGAGTCAGCATTTGTATTTTCTCTTTCATCCACAAATTGTCTGTAAGCATTCTTTGTGGAAAATATCTAGTTGATTAATATGTGATTGATATGATGTCCACTTTGCTGACCCATACAAGAGCATGGTATGAATGACATCTTTATATACTTGGATTTTTGTGCCTAGGTTTAAACACTTCTTATATCAAAGGCAATGATGGAGTTTACCAAATGTATTAGTAGCTTTGGCTATTCACTTAACTATCTTGTCATTAAAAGATGAACTGGAATTTACTCTGCTGCTCCAATATGTAAAGAATTTCAAATATTTGAGATTCTTCCTCTCAATCTTAATGGGAGAATTTGGAAACTGGTGATTTTGTTTGGGACCTCTAATTTGCTTTGGAAGAAAAGTTTGTTGATGGACGACTTCCATTTTCTTAATGACAGCTTTACCTGCATTAGAATAATGATCTACAAGTTCCTGAGTATCTTCAAACAATGTTACTACAAGTGCTGTATCATCTGTAAAATGCAGGTTACAAATGATGCAAGTTCTCAAAAGCATCTTAGCTTTCAACTGTTAGTGGTTAAAAGTCTACCGCTTGTACCGAATTGGATTTTAATAGCAGTGTCCATGTTACCAGAGGCATACCTGAGTATTGTAGAAAAGAATCATACAAAAAGAACTGAAGCTCTGACACAGCCTTGTTTTCTGCTGTTCATGACATCAAAAAATTAGAAAATTCTCCATCTGGCTGAACAGCTGCTTTCATCCCCTGTTAGAAAGAGATGATGACATTGAATATCTTGTCAAGTATATCAAGCTTCTTGAGCACTGTCCAGTGTCAGGGCAGGAGCATCTTACCCCTAAAGACCTTGGCATTTTTGGGGCTCCGTTGTGGCCTCTGCCATTTTTTTTCAGCACTGTTTTATGGCAATTTTTTTCTTATTTTTAAACTGACATTACATTGTCAGTCATCAACTTATGATATACATTGTGTATCTGCATTGCTGCTGTGGTGCATACTATGCAGAAACTGTCAATGAGATTGAAACCTAAAAGGGCTAGTTTCAACAATGTTTTTTTTTGCTTTTTCTACTTTTTCCTTTTTTTCTAAAGTTATATTGCCAATCAAAACAAAAAATCAGAGATACTCCTTAGTGGATGATCTCGGAATAAAAATGATTTTACTGAGATCATCTAATAAGGAGGATCTCTGATTTTTTTGTTTACTGATAGTAATACTAACAAGAAGTCCATGGCTATTAATTAAAATAAAATTTCTAGTCCGTATTTTTTACATTTCTAGAAACATAAAACTTTGAAAATGAGCACTTAAAAATAAAAATATTTAAAGATTTCAACACATGAAAAATCTTCCCAGAAACTGAATGAAATACTGTTTTTAAAACAAATTATTAAGACAATTCCATTTATGTGGTGTTGGAATCTTTATAAAACTATTTTTCTGCAAAGATGCATCGGCAATTAATCTTTATGGAAATGTAAAAATTTGTGACTTAAACATTTTTTTTTGAGTAAAATTTAGTCATGAATATATTGGTGGTTATTACAAAAAGAATAACATTTTCTCAGATTTTTTAAAAATAAAAGAAACCTATTCAGTATAAAAGTAAATAATTAATGAATATGTACTGAAATTTTCATTTAAATTGGATAATTCCCTGATTTTTGGTAATTTAAAAAAAGCACTGCCCTTCCTCACCATTTTTCCTCAAGGGTTTTTGGCCCTAGGTCAGGAAACTTTGAAATCGTCATATAGTAGAGAGGGGGGCCCCCATATCAAAGTTGGGGTTGGGTGAGGCTCTAGCACTGTCCCTGCAGAGAGTATCTCTATTGATGGTTTCAAAGGTCTTAGGTATATAAATGTTTTTTTTTTTCCTGGATTGTTTAACAGGGAAATTAAGACAGGAGATTATATATTGCAAAACTTTTTTTTTTTTTTTACCTTGGATCAAACAGTGACTAAGGGAGAAAAAATAATGTTCTTTTATCACTGTATCTTTTGACTTGCAAATATGTGAATGGAAAATAGTTGAAGATGATGACTGCAGTTTAAAAGAAATATCAAATAAATTTTTCATTAACAGTGATATAAAAAGAGTTGATTTCATGTTGTATTTACTGGGAAGGTATAGTGTGATAAGTTGGTTGATGATCTTTGTTAATTGATATGCAGGAGTGGGAATTTGCAGTATAATATGATGGAGAAGGTAGTTTGGTTTGTGTGTTTTTAAGCTATCTATATTAAAAATTGAAACCAAACATTAATAAAATTAATTATGAATACTGCATAAAGGTTTTAAAATGTGTACAATAGAGAGTTTAAAATATCAAGGTTTGCACTAAATAATTTTAATACTTATTTCTTAAAAAAATCTCAACACATCATCCTTAGTTATCTCTCCTGAATCGTTACTTAAGTGATCACGTACTCACTTCACAAGTAAAAAATTTAACTTTGAGATGAACACAGCAATTTTGTCTTTGAAAATGATGAACACTACAACATTTGTCTTGAAATAAACAACACACTGATGATGACATCATGCTGTGTTAAAAGTACTCAGAATAAGTAATATGTAACAACACGGCGATTTTCTCTCTTTCTTTAATAATGTCACCAAAAAGCTTGTCCATGAATATGAAAGGATTCAATTGAAAATAAGTAGACAAAACTTGTATAAATTATTCAACGAAACATGTCTCAATGAAAACATGCTGTCAAAATATATAATATATATATATGTATATATATATATATATATATATACCATGAACAGGAAACGTTGAGTCTTGGGCTTGCCCCAAATTGAGAACTGTGAGATGGAGTTTCTTTCTATATCTGAAGGAGATATACTCCCAAACGGAAACAGCATCA